CTTCCATGATTTTGATGAAACAAGCTGTGAGTGCAATTGGTCTATACGATGATACTTTATGAGGTTCTTTGTTAGGTTTTTTGATTGGGATAATAATTGAGTGTTTACATTGCCTTGGAATTTGCCCCGAGCTCCAAATTTGATTTATCAAATTTAGCATGGTCTGTTTTGCTGATTTCGTGAGTTTTTGGTATATTAAATATTTAATCTTATCGTGTCCGGGGGTAGAGGAGGAATTTTGACGTTCGATTGCTGCTTCTAATTCTGATAGTGTGAAATTGTCGTTTAGGACTGAGGGAAAATTTTCTGGTTCTTTATTTTTAATTTTCTCTATATTATTTGCTACGTGAGTGTACAGTTGGGAGCTAGGGTCAACTTTGTGTTTAGTTACGTAAGTATAATCTTCAGCTATCTTGTTGACCTTTTCCTGATCGGTAATATATTCTATATCATTTTCTTTTAGTGTTGGTAAGCATTCTTTTTTTGGTATGATATTGTTGTATCTTTTTATCATTTTCCAAATTTCTGAAGTCGGAGTGAATCTATTAAGCCTGGAGCAGTATTTGTTCCAATGTTGTCTTTTTGCTTCTCTTATTGTCTTCTGTGCAAGGGCTTTCTTATTTAGGTATTCGTAGAGATAATCTTTCGTCATGTATTTGATGGCTTTATTTTTGGCTTTGTTTCGTTCTTTAATTCTCTTTTGGCAGTCTTCATTCCACCATGGATTGTGTGGTTTATGTTTTTTTGTTACTGTTGGTATGGTTTCCTTCATAATTTTCTTTGTGACGTTTATGAATTCGTTGTAGTATTCTTCTGTGTTTTCATTTGGAGTTATATTGGATAGTTCTGTGTCGCATAATTGTTCAAATGCTTTCCAGTCTGCTTTTTTGTAACTAAGATATGGTTCGTTTCGTTTTGTATATTCTCTTTCATGTATTTCTTCTACAGGATGTAGATTGATTTGTATTTCTATAGGGAAGTGATCACTTCCTAACTTATCTTGCTTTACATTCCACTGACATCTATTAGCTATGGAGGGTGTTGCTAAGCTTAGGTCTAGACAGGATAATTTTCCCGTATGGTGATCCATTCTCGTACCTGATCCATCGTTTAGTATTATAATATTTTTATTTTCAATAAATTCTTCTATGATGCGGCCATTTACATCGGTAGTGTTACTGCCCCATAATGAGCTGTGGCTGTTAAAGTCTCCTAGGATTAGCAGGTACTTTGGGGTAGCATATTCTGGAATGATGGCCTTAAGGGTATCTATGTCTAATCGCTGACATGGATTGTAATAATTTACTACTGTCATGCAGGAAGTTTTGAGGTGCAGTTGAATAGTTTGCAATTCAAAGGTATTATGGAGTGTTATATTTTTGAAATATACAGAGTTGTGTACGTAAATGGCGCATCCGCCTCTCACTCCGGTTTTTCTGTTGCGTGGTATACATGTATAATTTGGTATTTGTAATATATTATTTTCTGTAAACCACGTTTCTTGAATGCACAATATATGGTAAGGGTTATTCCTGCGTGACAGTAGCAATTGAACTAGTTCGTCCCCGTGCCCCCCTTGGAGACCTTGGGCATTCCATTGTAGTATGGATAGTGCCGCCATGAAAAGGAGAATTTTAATTATGTTCTCCATGGTGTTTCATTATTTCTAGCTCTTCAGGTAATATATTGAGACATGTCTGGGCTTCTGCGAGAAATTTGTTCATCTTTTGTGTTTGTGGGATGTCTTGTTGCATTATTTCTATGACGCGGAAAAGAAACATTAGGAGATCCAGGGAGATGTGACTTCTCCCTGGGAGATCAGTGTTCTTGACTGTGGTAGTGATGTTGGGTTTACCGTGACCACCGCTGTTGGAATGTTGAATTCTCCCCTGTTCTACAAATACGGAGGGGGTAATAAAACTTTCGCTTTGATTGTTTTCTATTTCAATGTGTTGTGTAGGGTCTGTATTTGGTCTGCTTTGTGTGGGAATTGTTTTACTCTTTGTTTCTTTCTTTTCTTTGTTTGTGGGTACTTTACTATTGCCGTTTGTGCTCGATTCCTTAGAGTTAGTTTTTTCCTCTACTTTTGTTGCCTCTTTGAAATGTTTCGTGGCTTCGGCATAACTTATTTTCTTTTCCAAGCGGATTTCTTGGACAATTCTTGCGTTTTTGGCTTCGATGCATCCTTTGAATGCTGCTGAGTGGTTTCCTTTGCAGTTAACACAAAAGGGATTAGATTTTCTGGGACATTGGTCGAAAGGGTGGTCTTCTCCACACCTGACGCATCTTTGCTTGCTATTGCATTGCGAAATTACATGTCCCATGCGTTGACATTTGAAACATCTGGGGACAGGGGGGATGAATTCTTTTACTTTAAATTCCTGATAGAATAGTATGATTTGTTTTGGTATCGTTTTACTTTCAAAGGATAGGATGACTGCTTTGGTGGGCATGTCGGTAGGGTTAGGGGTTTCGGTTGACGAACTGCTCTTGGTTTCAGGGTGGTTTTTCTTTATTTTCCTCGTGATTCTTTTAGCATTTGCGCATTTGTAGATTTTGAGCGCTTCAGTGATTTCTTCTTCTGTAATATCTGGATGAACTCCTGTTATTACTCCTTTTACTGTTTTTGATCGTTCTTTTACCTTAACTGGGATACCGCCTATTTCCGATATGTTTGAGATTGCCTTATGTTGTTTTATGTTCTAACATTTGATCAATAAACCGTTTTGGATTCTTTTAACAAATTCTATTTTGGTGGGTCCTGCACATTTCTCTATTTCTTTTGCTATTTTTATGGGGTTCACGTGTCCTAGGTTTTTTGTTGATTCAATTGGGATGAGTAGTACTTTTAGTTCATCTTGGGTTGTGGAAGATTGATGTGGGTCGGGTCGGGCTTCTTGAAATATGGGGCTATCGCTATCCGACCCCGACTGTGCCTTTAAACTTTCTATACTGTGGCTGTCTTCTCGTGGCCGAGCTCTCCTAGGGTGTTTCTTTGCATTTTTCTTTTCTACGGGGATGAAGCTATTATTGTATGCCTCCTCTTCTGTGTCACCTTCTATCTCTGATGAGAAATATCTTATGGGGTTAAGGGGGTTGTAGGCCGCCATATCAGGCGGCCTTCAGGAATGGGTGTTAATTGCTTCCAAGTTAGTTATTTTGGTTAATGTAGCATACAGTGCAGTGCAGAAAAATGCCCGAAAATATTGCTTACCTCTTGCTGGCAATCCCAATACACAAAAACAATTCAAATACTATACGGAGTTAGGTCGGAAAAAGATAATTGGTTTCCTTTCACCGAGACCAATCGCTTGGTCACGTGATATATTTGGCGCCAAATACGAAATTGAGCGTGGTTTCCGACAATCAGAGAAACAATTTTGATATATTCCACAAATGAAATTCCGAAGAGTAGTAGTGGTGAATTCACAAAATGTATATTCCAAATAGACTGGGGCTGGCAATCCAAAAAGAAAATTGAGTAAATTTGGTGTCAGTTGAAGATTCAATTCAATTCGATCGAACACCGGAGCTCGGAGGAGGCACGTCCGTAGCAGACGATCCGCTATCGTGTCTTGAGTAGTGCTTTATATTCAAATATGTGTAGTTTTATGATTCAGACCCTACTGGTGCGTGTATTGGAAAGGCATCTCAACTTGCAGAGTGGCATAGTAGTCTGCAAGCACAGACGCTAATCTGACAGTTTGACAAAATAGTGTTATTCAAGTCTGAGTAGTTTTATGATTCAGACCCTACTGGTGCGTGTATTGGAAATGCACCTCAACTTATAGAGTGGCATAGTAGTATGCAAGCACAGACTCTCCTTTGACAGTTTGACAGAATAATATAGGCCTATTGTGTATTGAGTAGTGCTTTTATTCAAGTTTTCGTAGTTTTCTGTGTTGTGCCACTGCTCTCTCACTCTCTCTCTCTCTCTCTCTTTCTCTCTCTCTAGCTCTCCCTCCAGTATGCTCGCACTCTCTGTATTACTTTTATTTATAATCATGGTCTGCTGAGAGCCAGAAGGATGTTAACTCTTAACACAACGAATGCCCTTCTGGCTCTGAACAAACGATAGTAGGCCTATATATGATAAACCCACACACCATAAGGTCATTTATTGGCCTTCTCAAAACCGTCATTCTGTAATAATATTTCTAACTTTGGTCTAATAACTCTTTTGTCAGTGCAATCAATGGTCGAATGAATAATAAAATTGTGATTTTTATCTAGTTTCCGTCCTTTGTATTGATTTATTATGTTAAAATTGATAACAACATTTAGTATAAGTTACAAGTATCTCTTTTATTAAAGCACAAGCACACACACACACCCATACACGCCACACCACTTAATTTTAAATGTAGGCCTGAATTAAAAAGTTATTAATTAGCATACAATCGTACATGAGCTCTACCATCAAATGAGTGTTTTTGACAATGATCAAACATGAATCAACAGTGCAGTAAAATATAAACATAGGCAAGTTTTTTAATTCTTTTAAATTACCTGGTAAAACATATTCTTAAAAATGACTTAAATGGTCTTTAGGATTGCAGGACACAAGAACACCCTGAAGACACTACTAGTATGTTGTCAAACTGTCAGATTAGCGTCTGTGCTTGCAGACTACTATACCATTCTATACAAGTTGGCGACTTGAATAAAGTACTTCTCAGCACACTACTAGTATGTTGTCAAACTGTCAGATTAGCGTCTGTGCTTGCAGACTACTATACCATTCTATACAAGTTGCAATGTATTTCCATATGCACTACTGGGTCTGAATCATACAACTACACAGACTTGAATAAGCACATCGCGACACATACGCATATTGATTTGTCAAACTGGCAAATCAGAGTCTGTGTTTGAAGACTACTATGCCATCGTTTACATGTACATTTCGTATGGGAAGTAGCAGAGAAATCATAAGTCCACGCGCATGCGCACATGGGATTTTTGCTCTCTCGAGTACGGAAAAAAAATTCGCGTGCGGGTTACATTCTATGCCGTCACACCGGCCGACAAGACTCAACGCTAGCTGGCCCCGCTGCACCTGCTCATCGTGTACCGTACCGGTGCTGAACACCGTTGCTAATGGAAGCCATCCTCCTGGTAACAAGTCCTCGGCATGCTGCATCGTCTATTTTACCATTAAGGAGTCAGAAAGTAGAATGGCGAGTGAAATACTGATGAAAGGAGACCCTGTGCCTTTTGCTAGGTCGATGGGACGGTTAATAAATTGCAAAGAATTCAGGTAAGCCCATGGCATGATTAGAGCTCGAGCAGATTGGACGTTAACGGCGGGGTGCGGGCGTCCACGCACGGGGAAGCCACGGCTCAGGACAGGCGGTGGTGGCCGGTGGTGGTTGTGTGTGTATAGTCTATTTTATACAACACCTACGTGGATCCTTGTCATTTGATTGGACGATTGTTGGTCACATGATATTCAATAGATGGTATATTGCACGGTCGTGCATTTTTGGTTATATGCGCATGCATTTTTGGTTATATGCAGACTGCGTACCTCTCTGCTGCATGTGCGCGTATCCCTGCGTGTATCTGACGCGAAGGCAATCTGCATGTAATCGAGAAGGCTTGACTCGAACTTTAATTTATCTTTATAAGGAGTAAAGCATAATTTGCTGATTAACGTTCTATTAGGTCTTCTTCGATGTTGTATAAAACAAATAATGAATGTTTTTCATTCGTTTAATAGTGCAAATATTTTCATTCGTTGAAAGATTAACGTTAATTCTATTCAACTCGGCTGACGCCTCGTTGAATAGAATGTTAATCTTTCAACTCATGAACATATTCGCACTATTGAACTCATAACCATTCATTATTTGTATAATAATATTAGGAGGTTGATTGAGTTTGTTTTGGGCTTAATTGGTCAGCTGAGAAAGCAGCTGCTATATACAGTCTAGGCCTAATACTAGTATAGACCTAGGTCTATGATGCCAGGCCAAGGAGCATACATTTCTTACATTTATACAATTTACCAGAGAATAAAGATTTAGATCTAGTTTGCTTCAACATAGAGTCTAGGCTAGACTACTTATCTAGACCCTATATATACTCCCTAGTCACTTAAAATTTCAATTTGATTTAGATGTACAATTAAGACACAGGTTTATTACATTTATATTTAAGGTGCAAATATGATTGGGCTGTCTCTTTTGCAACCAAATTTCAGGAAAAATATGCATCAAATAATACCAACTACCATGAGTATTTTTCACTTATAATATTGTTGGCGTACAGTGTATATGTGCATGCCTTTCGAAAGAACATAACACATAATGAAGATGTATAGTCTGATAGAACACAGTGATTGGATGCGATCTTCCACTTTTAAATTGTTTGACTGAATGCACACAAATACTTGGGTGTACAAGTGACATCATAAGTATATATATTAATATGCAACGTACTTTCACTGAATATAGAAGTACTCTCTACACAGTGCAACGCACGTTAATTGTATACGTTGCGTATTGCTCTCCTCTTTAAACGCTTTTAGTGTTAGTATGCAAACTTTGGTCACGCGTGAACTATTTGGTCACACCACCATACTGGATGCAGTTTGCTAGCTGTTAATTTATGACTTGTTGCTCTAAAATTACGGAAGAAGTGAAATAATTCTGATGTGGAATATAAAGCAAATAATCACCTTTTGGTTTCAGGCGATGGCAAACTATCACTTCCTCGGCGATCTGAATGTATACACTATATCTTTCCTCAGCTTCGCTTCGGGAAGATAGCTACATCTAGATCGTCTCGGAAGTGATAGTTTGTCCCATCACCTTCACCAACGGTAATTATTTGCTTAATGCTTAAAGTCCATCTATCTATAAACATGGAATTGTAGAAGATATCACAAATAAACAAATGGTAAACATGTAGTATCCTAATAACGATGACAACAAAAAACAAAAGACATGCAAAGATGGATTATATTTTGACAGATCTCTCTTGGAATGTTTTGGGTTGAGGAAGTTAGTGTATATTTAGTCTCACTTATTAATACAAGAACATGTGAAGTGTCAGCTAGTTCTCCAGAGACTGATGAGCTAAAGTTTAAAGTTATAAATGCTTCATTCTTTAACTTTAAATTCCAAAACAGTGATGTCAAGTTCATCGTTGGCGAGGCTCGTCAGCACATCTTTGCCCATCGCTGCATCCTTGTCTCTAGATGCGAAGTCTTCAGGGCCATGTTTGCGGAGAAGGTCGTCAAGGAGACCAGCGCAAAAATTCCACTGGTGCTGTCAGACGTTGAGTCCGATATCTTTATGATCATCTTGGAGTTCATCTATACTAACTGTGCATCACTAAGTGCAAAGACAGTAAGTAAGAAAATCTGGGGCAGAAGTTGTCCACACTGTTTTATAGTGGAGGACGGGGTTTTGTTTAATACTTTTGTAACATATTTCCTGGCACATGTAATTGATACGATGATCATAATGGGCATATATCCAGGATTGTAGGGGGAGCGGGAAGGGGCCCGTTTTTTTCTCTTCAAATAGGACCCTTCACACCCCCTGCATCTGGCAGAGTATGATCATCGATATTTTCCAATAAATATCTCTATCTCTCCCACGTACCCTCTCTCCCTCTGTATTTTGATTCATCCCTTCTTCTCCCTGTCTCTTATTCACTTTTTCTTGTGCACTTTCTCTTTAATACTTTTTCTCATACTCTCTCTCTCTCTCCCTCTGTATTTTCATCTGTCCCTTCATCTGTCTATATCTCTTTCTTTATTCACTTTTTCTTGTGCACTTTTTCTCTCTTTCTTTCTCTGTAATTCTTTCTCTCATACTCTCATTCTCTCTCTCTCTCTCCCTCTGTATTTTTATCTATCCCTTCATCTCTCTGTCTTTTATTCACTTTTTTTTGTGCACTTTCTTTTTTTTTCTCTCTCTCTCTCTCTCTCTCTCTCTCTCTCTCTCTTCCTTTGTATTTTCATCTGTCCCTTCATCTGTCTATGTCTCTTTCTGTATTCACTTTTTCTTGTGCCCTTTTTTCTCTCTTTCTCTGTAATTCTTTCTCTCATACTCTAATTCTCTCTCTCTCTCTCTCCCTCTGTATTTTCATCTATCCCTTCATATCTCTGTCTCTTATTCACTTTTTTTGTGCACTTTTTCTCTCTTTCTTTCTCTTTAATACTTTCTCTCATACTCTCTCTCTCTCTTCCTTTGTATTTTCATCTATCCCTTCATCTCTCTCTGTCTCTTACTGTATTCACTTTTTCTTGAACACTTTTTCTCTCTCTTTCTCTTTAATTATGTCTCTCATACTCTCATTCTCTCTCTCCCTCTGTATTTTCATCTATCCCTTCATCTCTCTGTCTCTTATTCACTTTTTTTCTCTCTCTCTCTCTCTCTCTCTGCCTTTGTATTTTCATCTATCCCTTCATCTCTCTCTGTCTCTTACTGTATTCACTTTTTCTTGAACACTTTTTCTCTCTCTTTCTCTTTTATACTCTCTCTCATACTCTCTCATTCCCCCCCCCCCTCTCTCTCTCTCTCTCTCTCTCTCTCTCAGGTCGTTGATGTACTAGCTTCCAGTATAGAGTACGGCCTTGATGAACTGAGGAAGCTGTGCATTGCATACCTGATTAGAAACCTCTCTGTTACCACCGCTTGTGAAACCATGCAGGCAGCAGCAACCTACGGACAAGACGATCTAAGATGGACCACAATGGGTTTTATTGAGGAACATACTGTGGTAAGTTACAAATCTTGTCAAAGAGCAAAAAATATCCATATGAAGGTATCAAACTTGTCTATAGCGACCACCCAAGGGAAACACAAAAAGTGGTCTTTGTAGACAGGTTTCTTTAGTACATGTTTCAATGAGTAACCATTTTCAAGGGAAACAAAAAATGTGGTCCTTATAGACAGGTGGTCTTTGTAGACAGGTGGTCATTAAAGCAAGTTTGACTGTCGTTGGTTAATTTGACTCTAAACTTACTGTCAATATCATTTCTATTTTAATTGTAGTCAGTTTTACATTTTTTATTTCATCAGTCAGAAATATTTATCCTTTTTGAGGCGTAATAATTGTATACTGACAGTAGCAGTACATGTATTTTTAAATGAGTATGACTGATTAGAATTAGTAGTAAAAGTAGTATGAGTAGAAGTAACCTGGTAATAGTAATAATGTATTTTTAGTATTAGTGGCGAAAGTATGGTAGCAGTACATACTACATAGAGGTTTTAACAAAAGTAGTGGTAATCACGATAGTTGGGTATTTGCATATATTAAATAGTAACAGAATACATCATTTTTAGTTTTGACAAAGAGTTATGCAGCTTTGATATATTGATATTTTTATTGATTTTTTTTTTAAAGCTTTCAGTCAGGTCCCTAATGTTACTCACCTTATGTGTCCTCCTAATGAATGCAGGAAGTATTCAAGATGAAGCAGTTCCAGGAACTGTCAGAGCAGGCCCTCGCAGTCATCCTCCAAAGCAGTCGTCTCTTGATGGATGAGATGGACATCTTGGCTACAGTCAAAGAGTGGGCTTCAATCAATTCTGTAAGTAATTTGAAGTGACCTCTCTCTTGTAGTGACCCTACATTTGCTTCTTTGACAGACAATTGCTCCAGGCTTTATCTTGTCAAAGTTATAGGTTTATGGTTGCTATTGGGTTTTAGGTTCTAGTTTAGGGTGAGGGTTAGATATAGTGCCGGGTCTATAGTTGAAGTTAGAAGGAATTTCTAGCAGAACAATCGTTGCAGGAGCAAGTGTTGTACAAACCTCTTTTCAGACAAAGGCAAAGGTGCAAATATGATAAGGCTGCCCTTATAAATGCAGCTGTTGTAACTGTTATTCTCCTCATCATTGTTATTATTATTCAGTATTATTTGTTATTATTATTTTGTGGTTAAATGGTTAAATGGTGGTTATTTGCTTGTTAGTAAGCAAGCAGAGGACCAACGGCTTTAGGTCCTTTCCAAGGGACCTAGTATGAGGCTTAATGCCTTACCAAAGGGCACTAGCGCATCAACTTGGTTTCGAACCCAGGCCACCGTATTACGAGACCACTGCTCTACCAACTTAGCTATCGCGCCTCCTGTTGTTAGTAGTAGTAGTAGTAAGAGTATTGTTGTTGTTGTTAGTATTATTGTCATTACTGCTATTGTTATTATTAGCATCATGATTATTATTATGATTAATATAAAAGATCCTTGGTCATGATCTGATACTGTTCTTTGCCATTCTGTACCAGGCTGTGCAAGGTGTGTCTATGATAAAGGCCATCAGCAGTGTCATCAGGCATGTCCGGTTCCCTCTCTTCAATGAAGCAGAGCTGCAGAGGGTAGAAAGTGGCAATGAAACACAAAATGTTGTACCAGTAAGTTTGTAAATAATATCCTGACATTGACAGAAAGAAAATGCTACAAACTTATTTGTCGATTGAACTTGAATAGACATTTTATCTACAATTACCAACTAAATTTCATACCCTTTCTGAGTTTTATAATTTTTTAAGTATGTAAAAAAATTGATTTGTCCCAATTTATGTTTCTTGAGCATATGACATAGTAATGCTTACATCAAAGATGATTTAACAAGGTCCTATTTCAACCAGTCCATCTTTCATTCTAAACTAAATTTCATACCCTTTCTGAGTTTTATAATTTTTAAAGCATGTAAACAAATTGATTTGTCCCGATTTATGTTTCACAAGAATGTGACATCTATAGGAAAGCTTCCATCAAAAATAATTTAACAAATTGAGACCCTAATTCAACCAGTCCATCTTTTATTCTAAACTAAATTTCATACCCTTTCTGAGTTTTATAATTTTTTGAGTATGTAAAAAAATTGATTTGTCCCGATTTATGTTTCTTGAGAATATGACATAGTAATGCTTACATCAAAGATGATTTAACAAGGTCCTATTTCAACCAGTCCATCATTCTTGAACACACAAACATCAAATTTACAAGGGGTATGACTAATCAAATGGTTAACTGTATATGGGATAGTATGAGTAAAAAGCAATATCTGAGTGGAAATATGTTTGAAGATGAAAGTGAGTGGGCAATATCTTTTCATATGCATTAACATATATAGATAAACTGATAGTTTGCTCTATGTATATGACAAATATGTATAGGACAAACTGCCCCAAATGTCCTAGTTGCCTGTTCTGTACCCTACCTGTGACCAACCATTTATCTTCACTGTGCCCAGTCTGTTGCATGTCAAACTATAAATTAAATGTAATATCAAATGTCTCTAAAGTTATCATTTCAATTCATATTTCATTCTGATTTCCTTGATTTGGATCATTTCCGAATCTTAGATTGCCATGATAGCATTCGCCTGGAAGTTCCATGCTCTCCACCAGTCGGATGGAACCAACCCCCAGACCAAGCTTAGAAGAGGGACCAAGCACAGAGACAGTCACCAAGGACTAACACCATGGGACCACTGATACCAAGCTGGTCCTGGACCAAGTTTTGAAGGACCAAACTAAACTATTACCCAGCTATTACCTATTAGACCGAGCTGCAAATAAGGACTATACCCAGGGATATTCATTTGGTGCAGGCACCATGGGATGGCTTGCTTAGAATCATGAGGTTGTCACCTCCGGTTGGGTCAGGTGGTCAAGTTACCCGACCTTTTGTGAAAACGTGCCCCTTTATTCACTAAATGTTGGGGGGATTGTTTGTGACATAAACCCCTCTCGTCTAAAAATGGTCTGGTCTAATTTACTCAACACTTTGTCATCTTCCACCTTTGTTTCACGAAAGGTCGTGTAAAGCGACCACCAGTCCTGATTATTGATGAAACAAGCATCCTGGACCATGTCTAAGCATGGACCACTGTAAAGGGCCAGGCCTGATAATTACCTATTCTCCCTAATTTTTCCCAATTTTTCCCCAATTTTCTTACTCCGAAGGGGGGAATGTTGTTAAATGCCATTTTTTCCCCCGCGAATCCTTTTTTTTAATATATACACTCAAGGGGGTGTGGTGGAGGGGGAAAAAAAAATCTTTTTTTTCTTAGTGCTCACTATCACCCCTGAAAGGGTGGTCAATATAGGGCTACAACACTAAAATCACCTATGCTAAAAGCAGGGATCCTGGAGTAAATCCAGCTAACTCGGATACATTTGTGGAGTGCTATCACTACGGAACCATTTATACAACCAAGAATCTGAGACCAAGCTTGACTAAAGTGACAGATTGTCATTAGATGCTAAATACCCCAAGATAACTGTTTTATATAAGAGTCCTTGATACTGTTTGAAGAGGATCCTACACAACTGAGGGTTGGCCATCAAAGACTAGCTCACACGGTTGAACTTGTAATGTGATCAACATATTTCTTGTAACCATAGGAACTATTTATCAGATTTTTTATACAATGCCAAATATATATGAATATATTTTGATATTTTTTTACTTTTTGATATTCACCTTGAAAAGATATATACAATCTGACTGAAATATGTTCTGTGCCTTTCCAGCTTTGCCATGGTAGTCTATCGAAGCTCGTTGTTTGTAAGGAAGTTGTGTATCAAATTATTAGCTATATATAATTTACTGATATTTCAAATTTTGCTCATTTGGGGAAGGTTTCTAAATTCTATATGTGATTATTATTTAGGGAAATGACTAGTATAAATAAAAAAATATTCTTTACAAATAAACATATTTTTCATGCAATATTTTTGAAAAATGGTCCATGAATTTTTGAGGTATATTTCATCATGAGAGAATTATATCACAAGATTAAGTGCAAACCAAGGTAATTTACAATATATCTTTACTATATTCTTAAAGAGTTTCATCTGGATGGTTTAAATAAAGATTTGAAAGTTCTTGTATCACATCCCAAATTTACCTGTAACAGTTGATGTCCAGAGTTCAGTATTCTTCCTCAGCTGATTTGTGTCTGAAGAACTCTAGACATCGAAATTGTTACAGGTAAATTCTTCTTCTGGATTTGGTACAAGAACTTTCAAATTAATATTTTATATTTTTATCTTCAATTTTTGATTTGCCAATTATATTATACAAATACCAGTACTTCATGATATCCAACAAAAGTATACTTGAGACATTTCCAGAATTTACTGAACTAACCGATTGTATCTGTTTTGATAGTCTATTATGGTCTTTGTTGAAAACGTGACACCACATTTAAATGATTATATTGAAAATTGACATAAATTCATGCTTTAGTGTTATAACCCAAGAAAAATACAAACTATGCAAATATTATTTTTTACTAAAGTATCATACAATTATGTATGTTTTGTTAACATACACTGTCGCTCATAAAGTTGGAATATTTTTAGTTTTACCCCAATTTATGGAATAATTAAAAAAATAATTCAAGAATAATAGATCTAGATAATAGTATACATTCTCATGGACGGCCATGCATTATGGCTCAAGGCATGGACACACAGAGGATTTTGTTATGTTGGGAACCGGGGTAAAATGCAATAAATTATTGAAAATTTATTGCATTTTTTTTGTTTTTTTTAATTTATGGAAACTGCCCCCTACCCTAGCCTCCGCTGCGTACAGTCATGGTTCAGTGACAAAGCAATGGCCTCGTAACTGTGAGGCCCCAGGATCAAAACCGTGTCGATGTGCTATATTAGTGCCCTTTTGTGGGGCATTAATCCTCATTACGGTATTTATGACTTAAGGGCGTAGGTCCCCTAGTTGATAAGCATAGTAGCATACACATGCTTTAGCAGTCACGCAAAACTCACATTGTCAAATTATCATTCAATAAAATTAGAGAATGTATACCATTATCTAGATCTATTATTTTTAAATTATTTTTTAAAAAATTCCATAAATTGGGGTAAAACAAAAATATTCCAACTTTATGAGTGACAGTGTATTTATATATGTTTTTATTTTATTATGTTTTTTCTTCCAAATGTATTTTCCCTCTGATTGTGTGCTGAATATGAATGTTTTTACCCTGAAGCAGTTTGCAGTGAAAATGTTTGTGAGATGAATGTACTCATAGAAATTGTGAGCTATACATTTTTGGAATAAAAAGAGATATATTTATCTATAGCATTTGCAGCATCATTATTTACTTTCATTATTCTACAATAATTTGAGTGTAAAGTTGAGTGTAATCGAATGCCCAAAGGATGTTATCAGGGAAAATTTAGAAGGGAGGAGGGGGGGGGGGGGGGATACCAAATAATTATATACAAGGATACACATTTTTCCACAATTATAAACTTTTATTAATGGGATAGTGTCAAAAAAAGAAAAAAAAGAATATAATTCGTTCTGTTCAAGGTGACAAAAAATGTGTGAGTCTTAAAATTCTGTTAAAGATAGTTTGGAAGAATATCACAGAAGAAATGGCCCCTTGGAAGGATGATTCGAAATGTCACAATAAATAACTAAAATAGCTGATGTCTTTCATGCCACATGTTTGTGTAGTCCCAAAGAGACATTTCTGTGTACAGTGCATGTGACTTTTAGCAAGAGTAAGTCATTTCCTATCATAATGATGTTTATACAATTCTTTTGTGGTATATAAACTTTTCCCAACTGCATCCAAACAGTTTCTTTAACAATGCGATAAAATGACCAGAACTCAACTTTATCTTTTTAAAATTCCACTGATAAAAAAAAACATCATTCGGATTGGGTCATAAGTCAAGCTTATGAGTGCTGAAATAAAAAAACTCCCTGCAAAAATTTCAGTTTGGATGGTGAGACAAATTCCATTTTGATTTCAAACCTAGAATTAATAATTTTTCCTTTTAAGCCAATGGCGGTTTTACGGGAGGGGGCACGTAGTAGCCTAATATGGAAAGCATTTCCCCGAAAATTGACATCCCTTTAACTGTTTCTATTTGACTGTCAAACTTTTTAATGTGAGTACAGTATTCTCATGGTCTTGATATAAGGAATTTTATTCCCCCAAAAGTAAATAATACATAATGATTCATACATGTCAGGAAGTTTTTTTGGAGGGATGTCTGAAACCAAATGCTTTAAATATATATGTAAAGCGGATGTTTGTTTCTAATACTCAGTGGCGTAATGAGCAAAAGCTTTTTCGGGGCAGAATAAAAAACAAATCATCAAAATTTGTGAATCACTGTTATCGAATTAGAAATAAACCGACCACATTTGAAATGTATTTGGTAGAGAGGGGAACTGTCCCTGCAAGCTACCCCCCCCCCCCCCCCCCCCCCATCACTACGCCAGTGATGATACTGATACAGAAAAACGACTTTCAAAGGATATTGGTACTGATTTGGGTTTGGGGTTCCAAACTCGGAATGAAGAATGAAAAAGAAAAGACTGAACAAAAATCATAATCTATTTGACAGATAAATCGAACCCAACCAACAGACAGTGTTCCAGCGCAACGAACCATCAGACTTGGTGGAGTAATTACCGCGCAAACAAACATACCGTTGCCAAGAACTTTTTGCTGGTTGTCGTGAATAATTACTTTTTAAAATGCTGGATTTTCATGGCTTGTAAGAAATGAAATCGTTTTCAAGAGAACATAGCAAGTTTAAAGCATAGGTTAGCTTCATTAATCTGCAAAAATGACTGAAATTCTTTGTCGCTGGCTTAATGATGAGCTGAGAGTGTCGCAGCAAGTCGGTGAGTGCCGAATACCGTTAATTGATTGATAAGTCCCATGTACTCGGTTTGATGTACCAGTACGGTTAGAGCTGTGAGTCCAACATTCAACAATAACAAAAAGGATGTCCGTTTAATCTGACGCTTTGTTGCTGTTTCAATGATAATCTGGGGCCAATAACTGTAAATGAAAAACTATGTGGTTGTGGTCTGTATGTGTAGTGTGAGCCCTTCTAGTTCTACGTCTAGACTTTTAACAATTTCTAGACTTTCTATGAATTTGTTTTTTCTTCTTTGAGTTTGAGTTTGACTTCATCTTCTCCTCGAAGTCGGAGCTCTCCGCTTCCCTTTGCATTTGGGCCTTTCCGTTTTCCTTCTTCATCTTCTTTCTCTTCTTTTTCCTTCTTTCTCTTCTCTCTCTTCTTTCTCTTCTTTCTTTCTCCTTCTTTCTCCTCCTCCTCCTCCTCTTTCTCTTATCCTTTCCATTCTCTTCCTCATTTTTTTCTTTTTCATTTCCCTTTAAGGGTAGCGCGCCCGGTATTCGGTCACTTAAACTAGTAGAATCTAGACTCTAGCCTAGGGCAAAATCGTGAAATAGGCCCCGCAACTTACCCGTCTTGTTATCGATTACAAATCATCCTAGACTTCTAACTTCAGTCTTCAGCCTACATATTCATGACGGACAGCAATAAAAGGGATATAAAAGTGAGTTAAAAAGGGGGTTGAAAGGGACTTAGATCTAGACTCTAGTCTATTTTTCAAACAAACAAAAAAAAATTAAAAAAGGAAAAATATTTAACTAAGATAAATTTAAAGAGAGGGGGGCGGCCCTCCCCCCCCCCCAAAAAAAAATAATAATAAAATAAAAGAAAAATTTAAGAGAGGGGGCCAAAATATTAAAAAGGAAAAATATTAAGAAAGGTAAAATATTAAAAAAGGAAAAATATTAAAAAAGTAAAAATATTAAAATAGGGTCTAAAAGATGAATTTAATCATTTAAATCATTTAATAATTTGCTAGCTTTATTCATTAAACCTCAAAACACCCCCTAAATTATACTTTGTTGAAAGAAGCCCCACTACCGTGCTGTCCGTTTTGAAAATACATTGGACGGGGCCTTGTTCACGAGTATATAGTATAGTCGTGAAACAGGCCCCATGTCCGTTTTGTAGAACATGCAACGCCGTTGCGCGGGGCCTACATCACGAGTATATATATAGCGAGTTGAATAGGAGACTCGATCGTATAGTATACTCGTGATACAGGCCCCGCAGCTGTGTTGAAGTGCGCGCGATGCCGTAGCGCGGGGCCTCAATAACGAGTATATAAGTATAGTCGTGATTCAGGCCCCGCTGCTGTATTGAAGTGCGCGCGATGCCGTTGCGCGGGGCCTGGATCACGAGTATATATAGTGAGTAGGTTGAAGTTAGAAGTCTAGTATAAAATTATAATTGATTCAAAACAATTGCGGGGCCTATATCACGAGTATGCCGAATCTAGATCTAAAAGGAAATCACAAATATTTTTAATTCTTACCTCCTTTATTTGGCAATCTACCCATCAAAAGAAAAGAAAATTAGTCCTCTAACAGGATTTTAAAATCACTTAAAATATAGAATAATGATAAGCAAAATATTTCCGAAAGAAGAAGGAGCAATTTTTTTCCCAGAATTCGGTCACGCCGAATAGAATTTGGTCCCGCGATTTGTGCGTGGTCTCTCCGTTGACAAGGAGCGAAGCGTATTTGTGCACTATTTTCACACGATTGAATGTCAATACCTCTTGCACATCGGCAAGTGCGTCATTTGCAAATTCGCTGCGATGGAGCGAACACGGAAGAGCTCGTCTTAACACATACTAAATTCATTGCGACAGCACACATAGTTGTTTTGCAATAGACTTCTACATATGGCTTTGCGTGTTAGCGCATGTGCTAACAGAACCCGGAAATGCAGAAAGTTGTGCGACACTGACCAATTTCGAGTTAAGTTGGAGATCTTTCCGGGGCCCTATACCCAGCTGTCTGATTTGTGCAAGTTTCGTGGCTCATAATTTTTTTTTTTTAATTGTTACAGCTGTTGAAATGGCTGTCTGACCGAATACCGGGCGCGCTACCCTATTCTTTAAAAAATGGGCTTAGTCTAGGCTACTTTTTCTTTTTCCATATTTTCCCAGCAGTTTCTGGTCCTCCTTCACCTAGTCTAATAGTAATAATCTGTTTCTCATTCATATATTTTCTTTGTTGCGTTTTCTATGACTAGATCTATGCCCTTCATCTTCATTCTATCGACTCCTTTTCCTCCATCTAAAAAATAAGAATAAGATTAACATAAATTATATAAAGCAAATGATTTTTAGCTGCACATAGAATTCTTGTAAGCCTTTTTACTTGCACTGTACACTCGGCACTTGACAAGCACAAGGTATGATAATACGCCAACGGCGGTCTATACTTTACTGGAAGAAGAAGAAGAAGATAATAATACAATCACAATTATCACATAGAAGCAAATTGTTGACAGACAAATAGTTAAAATCCACTTTATTTCTCTGTCTTGATTTCGTTGCTTCTGAAGGAAACAAAAAGTGTAATGTTCATTTATTTATTCATTCTTCCTTTGGTAGATGATACAAATTTTGCTGAGGCATGTGCTAATGGGTTCTTGATTGGTGAAGTCTTAAAGAGGCACCAACTCCAAGATGACTTTGAATTCTTCTCCCAGAACAAGTAAGTATAGAACTGAAAGACAATTATACCCATATGTTGTGTGTTCGGACAAATAATTTCAAAACATGATTTGAACAAGTGTAAATCCATTTTTTTTTAAAGTTAGGTTGAAAATATCATGAATTATAAATACCCATGGTAGTAGTGCTATATCATGCACACTGGAACAATGCTCCAAATATTCAATGGCAAAAGATTTTTTGTTAAGTGTATAGACACATGACTGCCCTCATACAAATTGGTTACGAGAAGGGGAAACTTCACCAAACACAACATTCAATAAGAACTGTCTTATGTAAAGGATTCAAATTTGTGTTCATTCAATTGTGAAGTTAATGGCAGGATAGTACCATGTTTTATTTGTTGAGATGGCAATAAATCTGTAAAACTGTTTCTATTCTTAAGTGAAGTCGGTGGACAAACTATTCAATACTCCCTCTCTCTGTGTTGTACCATGTGTTATCTCTGATAGTGCAGGGCCTCATATTAACTTTTATGTAATACAGTCATTATCAAAATAATTCCTCTAGCCAGGGTATACTGCATAAAAGAACCATTTCTATGAACTTAAGGGTCCGCTAGAGCTAGACGATTTGTTTTTCTCCAATAAAACCAATACTTGTGCAAAGCCTTCATGAATGACTCTATCCTTGTTTCTGCCTCATCCAGAACGTCGGACTCCAAGCTCAACAACTTTACCCGCCTGGAGCCGACCTTCCGACTCCTGGAAGTGCCCTTTGACACCAATGTCGCCAGGGATGTCATGACTCAGAAGGCGGGTATCGCTACCCGTCTCATGTACCAGATTTACATCGCCCTCCAGAACAAGGAGGCGGCTAATCTGACGGGCGTGGCCATGGAAACCATGCGTCCTAGGGCACCGGTCAAATTAGAGAGCCTGGAAAGAGTTCCTTACGGAGAGGTGAGGTCTTAAACCCCTTTTGGGCCATGAAGTTGTTGAACAATTGTCGTTAATGACCTTTCAAGGGTTAATTTTGGCTTATGGTGCCTTCTTTCATTGATATATTGGGTTTGTGAAATTCTACAATGGGAAAAAAAATGGCCTTAAAAGTAACTATTTCTGTTTCAGGAAGAAAATGTTGCCATTCTCATGCAATCTAAATTCTTAGAAGCTCACATTTTGGGTAGGATTTCTCACTGTCGTGGAAGGGGTTACCAAGGGAATACATGGACCCAATTCACTCCTTCAAGATATTTTTTACTCACTGGGGATAATAAGTACACTGATATCCATTGCTGGTTTCAACAGATTAATACCATGCTAGGTACAAAATATGTAATTCTGTTTAAAAGTGAGGCCCATCAATGATTTGAAAATTTATTTCAAATTTTGTCATTCTCTTGTGAAATTTTCTTTGACAAGTGATATTACCAAAATATTGTTTTTCTGCTATGGTACCTGGGGGTGTTTCATAAAGCTGTTCGTAAAGTTACACATGAATTTACGAACGACTTGTATATGAAGTGCCAGATAGGATGCCCAAAGTTTACCTGATATTTCAAATAACCTCAATTAAATTATGGCAAAAAATATACTTTGCATTAAAAATGTTTGTTTTAATAAGAATTTTAATATACAGATCTGCGCAGTTCAACTTTATTTGATGCAGATAAAAATAATTGAGCATCCCATTTTGCTTTCCATATACAAGTCGTTCGTAAAGTCATGCGTTACTTTACGAACAGCTTCATGAAACACCCCCGTGTTTACATTTTCTCATTGATGACAGCCATTCATATTGTCGATGTACACTGTGGCCCATGTTGTATTTTTGAGAGGTTTTTGTATTCGTGTGAAAGCTTGTATAAAAATATGAATTTCTCACGAAAGCAAAATATTTCCCATTATATTACAGAGACTGAAGATCCTCACGCCACGTCAGACGGATATCAATCTCGACCAGCTGGTGGATAAGTTTAGGGAGAGAAAGCGAAGCCATCTAGATGTTGAGTTCCGCACCAAGTATGAGGAGGAGGAGCGTCGTCGCCAATGGCAACAGGAGCAGAGGATGCTGGAGTTGCAGAAGGCTGCTCAGGCCAGGCAGAGACAGACAGAGCTTGTGGCTCGCATCAAGTAAGTAACAATGGGGAATCCCCTGTAAACATGATTTCTCATGACATGCGCAGTAGTAGAGAGGATAATTTCCCTTTGTTTTTTTTTATGAGTGTACTCGTTCCTCTTAGTTATTTTTTTGATATGTTTGGTCCCCAAAACTACATTAATTATAGTGCTGTGGTCAAACGTTTAACCGTCCTGTCCATGGCACTATCCATTTTCAATTGGACGGTTTCGTTTTCCCTTTTTTTTTTTTTTTTTTTAATCATTATTATTATTATTGTTTTTTTTATTTTATTTTTTTTATTGGAAAATCCAGAATGTATATAATTAGAAACAAAATCACTGAACAAAAACGGAGCCTTTACTGTCAAGCATGCTGTGGAATAATGACTGGGTTTCACTTTGTTTATGACGCTAATACATCAAGTTTTGCCAACATTATAGTCATCATAAGTAAGCCCTGACTGTTGAATTGCAGAGCAATGGAAAACATCATAACAATCAATTGTAAGATTGAAGATGAGAAGTTGACTCGTACAACTAAGTTCCCAGACTTTAAATATATGCACAATACTTCACTGATGCCATTCATTTAAACAAAAACAAAAACAAAACAAAAAATTGTTTTTTTTTTGTTGTTGAATCGTTTAACCGAAAGCCGTCTGGTTTTGACTAGCGGTTAAACAGAATTGGAAAATCTGTGACGTTACAACACTAATTAATTACAATTAATACTGTCATCATTCATCATCATTAATATAATTTTTATGCCTCCGCCACCGAAGGTGGTGCCGGAGGCATCGTGTTTTCGGGTTGTCCGTCCGTACGTCCGTCCGTACGTCCGTCATGTTGACCGTTATCACAATATCTCAAGAACCATTTAAGATTTAAACTTAAGACTCGGGAATAGTATTTATCACCATAGGAAGACGATCTGATTAGATTTTGGAGTACGTAGGTCAAAGGTCACAGGTCACAGAGGTCAACTTATGAAATTCCTTGTATTGAGTTTGTTAGCGCGATATCTCAAGAACCATTTGAGATTTAAACTTCAAACTTAAGGATAGTATGTATCACCATAGGAAGACGATCTGATTAGATTTTGGAGCACGTATGTCAAAGGTCAAGGGTCACAGAGGTCAACTTATGAAATTCCATACATTGAGATTGTTATCATGATATCTCAAGAACCACTGGAGATTTAAACTTCAAACTTAGTGATAGTGTGTATCACTATAAGAAAACAATCTGATTACATTTTGGAGCACGTAGGTCAAAGGTCAAGGGTCATAGAGGTCAACTTATGAAATTCCATACATTGAGATTGTTATCATGATATCTCAAGAACCACTGGAGATGTAAAAACTTCAAACTTAAGGATAGTATGTATCACCATAGGAAGACGATCTGATTAGATTTTGGAGCACGTAGATCAAAGGTCAAGGGTCACAGAGGTCAACTTATGAAATTCCATACATTGAGATTGTTATCATAATATCTCAAGAACCACTGGAGATTTAAACTTCAAACTTAATGATAGCGTGTATCACCATAGGAAGACAATCTGATTAGATTTTGGAGCACGTAGGTCAAAGGTCAAGGGTCACAGAGGTCAACTTATGAAATTCCATACATTGAGATCGTTATCGCGATATCTCAAGAACCACTGGAGAATTTTCACTTCAAACTTAATGATAGTATGTATCACCATATCATAATATCTCAAGAACCACTGGAGATTTAAACTTCAAACTTAATGATAGTGTGTATCACCATAGGAAGACAATCTGATTAGATTTTGGAGCACGTAGGTCAAAGGTCAAGGGTCACAGAGGTCAACTTATGAAATTCCATACATTGAGATTGTTATCATGATATCTCAAGAACCACTGGAGATTTAAACTCCAAACTTGTTTAAATTGCTCTATGGCGGAGGCATCATTTTCGACTGCGCGCAGTCAAAATTCCATCTAGTTTCTTATCAAATGTCATCTTTATCATTATCACATCATCATCTTTGTAATCATTTATGATTTTTTTTTTATCATCATTATCATCGTCATCATAATCGCCATTATTGTCAGCATCCTCATCCATATCACCAATGTCATCAGCAGCATAACTTTAACAACACCATAATCACCACTATCATCAACAGGATCAATACCAATGTCATCAAGAATCCTTTCCATCGTTATTCTCATCTTCATCTCTATACAATCATCATCAGGTTTCTTTCCTACCTGTTACACTTCTTGTGATTTTTTTATGTAATCCCGAAATAAAAATTCTTTTCCTCATTTTATTCCTGTCACAGGGCTGCCACAGTGGAGATCCCCAAGCCTCCACCTAACCGTACCCTGCGGGCGATAGCTGTGAGGAAGGAGCTTTCAAGGAAGAAAGAAGCTGATAACACCAGCAAGGAGATAGCAGCCTTTGAGCAACAAATCAGTCGCAATCTACCCGTCGGTGTGGAGACCCAGGATGAACAGTAAGGGGTCTAGCTGGTTTATTGTGGTTTCTTGAACAGTGTTTAATATTGTCTTTCTTGAACTATATTCTATCATTTTATCACAACACTTTAAAGAATAACTTTGTATGTTTTACATTAGCTATTAATCATTTTGTAAAGACATGTATCTTCAAAATTGAACTTGCAGATTACTTAAGTGACACCTTACAACATTTCTCTAAATGGTTACTTTGAACAGTATGTAATCTGACTAAAACTTTGTTTCAAATTGCTAATCAGTCAATCAGCTAAACACATTTTAATAATGTGAAATATGTAAACCCTCCCCCTCTCAAGTACCAACTATTTGTCAATCATTTAATTTTTATGTTTTCCTTTCATTTTTCTACAGGGATGTTGATGCAGAAGTAGCAACATACCTTCAACAACCAGAGAAAACCCAAGCTGATTTAGCTTCACTCATTAAGGTAGAAATCTATTTTAGATGTGAACATACAGTTAACAACTGAATTATTGATACCCCTGAATAATTTGATGCTTTTTGTATTTTTCTCAACTCAAGAATAAGGGCTGCATGGTTGAATTAGGGCCTTTGTTGAATACTTTTAGATGTTGGCTTTAAAGTGTCACATTCTAAAGAAAGATAAATCAGGACAAATCAATTTTTCACATACTTATAGAAATTCAAACCTTGGTAAGATATATATTCTAATCTTATGCAGCGCATGTTACATTATGATACAGTATCCCTAATTTTTACCAAATGATTTTTATATCTATCCTGGCTTTATCGCCTAGTACCTGATGATGTGCCAAAGTTTACTAGGAAGTTATTCCTTCTGGTACCCATTCACTTCACCTGTGTCAAGTGCGGCAAATGTAGATTAATGACCATGAGATGTTATTCTTTTACTCAGTCTTCACCATATTCTTTATTTTGAATGTTCTTTTGTATAATTACTTGCAGCCTGCCTCCAATGATGACTACATCGGCAAGATTCGAAAGCGTCTGGAGGAGGATGCCGTAGCCAGGCAGGAGAGGGAGAAGAGGAGACGCAAGGTGCTGGTGGACCAGATCAAAGCTCATGAAACTAATGAGGTGAGAGATCTATGAAACCTCATTCTTTTTTCCTGTCGAAAATGTGTTTGAACAAGTTATTTAGTGCGTGAGTTGGTGATCTTCTCCAAATCTCTGATCCTTAATGATAGCGACACAAACAAACCACGTTGGCAAGTATGCAATGCGTCTTGCTTGATTATATTAGAGTCAGTGTTTTTTAAAGTTTTATTTTTTATTCCATTACTATCTTTAAATATTTTGGCATTGTGTTGCGTTCAGTTGGTTATCGTTCATTTTTTTCCTGTTTTCAATATCAATATGATAGAGAGAGAGACAGAGAGATGGAGAGAGGCCAGTATGAGAGAGAGGGAGAAAGAAGAACGGAGGAATGTGCGCTAGCAAATCTGAAGTACAGGGGTGCTTTGTGTAAACAACATCAGTGTGTGGCGCGTGCTTTGACAGTGATTGCATGATTACATCTCGTTATCGTTAAACTTTTGCAATCTTGTTCGACTTTTGAATTCAATGCTTTCTCTTTATTACTGTTTTGGGGATTTTGGGGGCTAATTATACATATAGGATTAACACATCCACACACAAGTAAGTCTACAAAGTAAAATTGGGGCTTTTAATTTTCATCGACTTCATCGGTTATTCGACATGCAATGTTGACTTATGCGAGGTCGACTGTATATATTTAGTATTTTGTTAATACTGTAACAAAATTTATTAATAATAATAATAATAATAATATTGGATGTTTATATATAGCGCACATATCCACCCTGTTACGGCCACTGCTCTCGATCTTGCTGCTCTTGTCTCTTCTCACTCAGTCTCTCTCTCTCTCTCTCTCGCCCTTTAACCATTCATGCATGTACACAAAGCAAAGGTGAAAAAAGATGGAGTAGACGTCTTTCAGTTCTATTTACTCGTTTATTAATTAATTACTACAAATGACAGCTCAGTATCAAAATCAAGAAATCATGCTGTTTAAAGGTAATACAAAGTTTGGGGAAATTTTGAAAATTGGCTAGCTGGCTAGTGATTCTCTACAATTTTGATATATTTGGATGTCCCTGTGCATGTATTATGAGCACTAGAAAATTTAGCTCCTAAAACACTTCTGCTTTCAAGAAAAATTGAATATATAAATTTTACAGGTGCTGCCGGTAAACTGTGATAAATTTCAAATAGCACCTACAGCCATACAATTAATGGTAGCTGCGAACATGAAAATCTCAGAATATGTAGTTGTGATATATAATATCCAAACGAGAATAGCCAATCGGTCGATTATAGTCAAGAAACATTATAGCAAACTTAATATCTAGACCTTAAGAGGGAGCTATACAACATAAACAGTTTATTATTTACATTTTGTAACTTATTTAGACTCAATTTCAACCACGACAACTATCACTGAATATTGCAGGATCGCATATGCTTCCAACATGTTCATTTGAACCAAATTCATAACTCCATACCAAAACTTTGTATTATCTTTAAACTTAGCACTAACTACATGTACATGTGCAGTGTCCTATCAGGAGGCTAGCAAATTTGGAAAGCGGCAGCAAAGATTTGAGAAGAATTATCTGGATTTTGGATTGTTCGGGCTTTATATAGGGAGCTATATATTTATATTGTTTTCGAGCAGGCCACTGACCTTCTAGCAAGGATACAATCCGACCCTGAGCTAAGAGCAGAATCTAGCTGGCCTCCGCTCGAGGTCAGTCAGGGCCAGGGATCTGCACAAGACTGACTGTCTGTCCTTGCATGCCGTTACGTAAGACATGCAAGGACAGACTCTCTTAGCGAGCGAGGCCCTGGGCTTATAATAGGCAATAGAAATTCCAGAATTGCTTGAGGACAAAAAATATAGCAGCTTTAACGAAGGGCGCGCAAGCATGCACTGTCAAAAAACATGTGGTAAATCCATTCAAAGGACTATAGAGTTTGACCTGCACAACAAAGCAACAATTTATACAAAAATAATAATGAACAATGCATGTACAGGTGTATGTGTACTTCTCATTCATGAATACTGCACTGATACAGACATACATTGTATATTCCTACTAAAGAAACAAAATCATGCTAAAAAGTTGTATACATTTTCAAAATGTTAGACTGTAACATCTACAAACCTTTTCAAAATTAATACAGTGACTGCACATGCCTTCTATTCTTAAAAGGAAACCTCACTCAAAGAAATGATAATGATAATGATAATAACTAGACCTGCAATCGTGGCACAACGATATGACGGGCGATCTGGCACTAACGGTCGTCTATACTAACATAATTATAAACAGTATAATATGGTGTCTAAAATGCCCCCTTGACAAATTATTAAACAAAATTCAAAAAAAATATAGATTTTTCTAGGGGCCAAAATCGGGAACCCGATTTGCCCCATAGACAATGCGAGTAATGCATGGGCGCAAAACGTACAGGATCTGTATTATGACCGGATTTAAATTGTTTTGTTCTCTCACTCTTTATGTCTTTTATGGGCCATATTTGGTATTATTAGAAAGAAAATTTCATGGTGGGGAGTGTAAACTACTTTATATTTTGCTATGATAATCTTATCAAAAACGAGTGATGCAAAAAAGATTTATAGGACAAAATGGTGTCTTAAATGGCCCCCTTGACCAATTTAAAAAATCCGGCCTTGGGGTGCCCTGCGTATTGCAACTCGTAATGTCATTGCCAATTTTCAAGGAAAAAGAAGGACGTTTAGGGGGCGAAAAGCAGTCTGAAAAAATGACGTCATAGCCGATACGTGTTATAATCGGGCGGAAACTAGGTGGAATTCGTATAGTGATCCTTGTTCAAATGCGATTTACTCACAATTTTCTGTGATAACGTATAACCTGTTTGGTATCATTCAAAAGGGCACTTCATTGCAGTCAGTTTGACACCATTGTCATCTCCGGTCCTGAAAAGCGGTATATAAGAACTAGCTATTATTATTATTATTATTATCTGCGCGCAATGAACTGCACGCATTTAACCCGCTAAAACGTAATGGATAGTAAATTCATCATTTTTCGCGATAACTTTGCGCTGACGTCATTAAAATTTACCAAACTTGGCGGACAGTTGTCATGTATATTGATACATGTGTCTCCTTAGTTTCATTGTTGTAGGTATAATGATCGCAATTTTAGAGCAAGTTGAAGATATTTCGCAATTTTCTTGAAAATGGCAAATTTGGAGAGCAATTTTCTCAAATTTGGTCAAAGATAGGGTATATAATTTCGTATATGGCTTGAAAGGGGATATCTTCGGGTATCTAAATCTAAAAAAGGGTACGGGTCTGCCAAGCCATAATGGAGATACGGCCACGGAAAGAAAGCCAATTCCCCGAACTTTAGAGGGCGCTATTTATTTTGTGCATAGCCATTGGAGCGTGAAAATTGGCATGGCTATGTGCAAATATGAGATAAAGATACTGTAAGATTTAAATACAAAACGAAATTTATATGAAAAAGTTATGGCAGTTTTAGATTTGTTGGGGTCCACTTTTCAAGAATTTTAAAGATTTTTGACGGAGTCGGTTTTGGATTTGAATTTTGAGTACAAAGATGGCATTTTTTATTTATTTATTTATTTATTTATTTATGCATGCATGTTCACAATTTCACAATTCATTGAAGTTAACATCACATGAAAATTAATATAAGATGACAAATCATTTTCAATTTTACAATACATTTGAATTAACTTCACGTGAAAAAAAAATATAACATTGTTTTATCAAAGACAAGTTGCAACTTATATACAGTTTGAAGAATGAACACACAAAGGTGATGAAACATAAGCAAATAGAGCTTGAATCGTTACAACACCTTTCAAATATATAATATATGACAAATAAAATTCCTAAAGTTTTGTAGTGAACTATTTACACTATTTACAAAGTTTTAAAAAAAGAAAGAAAAAAAAATTTTCGTTAGGCCTAGTAACAAAATTATGTTAGATTTAATTAGAACTGATAAATAGATTATAATGTAAGTAATATCTTACATCTGTGAAATGATAATACATTTGAGTGCTCTTTTAAAAGAGTTTGTTGATTTTATATTTCGAATATCATTAGGTAAAGAATTCCATACATCTGGACCTCTGTGTCTGATTGATTTCTGGGCTAATGTAGTTTGAGGATTGACCACATGTAAATTCGATGACTGCCTTGTTGAATACGAATGAACCATGTTATTAGGTTGGAACATTGAAGATAATGACGTAGGTAATAATTTGATATTAAAACGGAACATAAATATGGCAATTTGGAGGAAGTTAATATCATCAATCTTTAAGCATTTCAGTTTAACAAATAGTGGGGTAGCATGGTCACGATAACCAGCTCGGGTACATATGCGTACAGCTTTCTTTTGTAACAGAAGAATATTATTAGTCACATACTAATAATATAATATAATATTAATATAATATAATATAATATTATTTATATTTTGAAGGTCAGGTTATACGTCGCAGATGAAAGAACATCTCTCAGACTATCTAAAGAAATTTGTTAGAAATTTGTTAGAAGTTTGTAGGATCTAGGATAGTGAAGATAGGAAGGAAGAAAGAAAGGCCTAAAAATGGACCAGAAACGGACAAAATGGCGCCTGGATGGTTATGCATGAGTGATTTCGAAAATCGAAAAAGTAGGTGACCTTGATAAGATGCTAGAGACTATGCCTATGAAATTTGAACGGAAATGGACATGAGAAAAGCACCTTACTAGGAATAACAAGCACTATGTGCAAAACGAATGCGATTTTCTGCAAAGAAGAAGAAGAATATTAATGGTGCAGAATGTGAACGAAAACAAGGCAATGACGATATTTGTCATTGCAATAATAATGGTGGCATATATAATAATATATTATATAAAGCGCACAAGGCTATACATACAGATGCAAATACAAAAGAAGGTTCATCTCAATTATTCTGAGAGATTTATTATATTCTTGCCCATTAATCTACAAGATTCCCCTCCAAATGAGAGAGGTGTAAAGCACTGAAGTTCAGTTTCTCAGCACGATGGGTAGTAAGGCTTAAAGGCTTCTAACATTATTATGAATACCAGTATTTAACATTCAGAGTTGCATTTTGTTTGTTTTTTGTTTGTTTTATAAAATGAAAGTATAGATAAATATACATGCTTCTGAACAAATCAAACGATCATATACAATTGGTTGAAATAACATTGTAGCATCCTTACATTTTAATATTAAAAAATGCATATTCATTATTCATGCATGACAAAACTTCATGGTAGCATAATTATACAGAAAAAAATATTATTTGACATTCAGATTGAATTCACTTGACAAAGGAATTGCATAATTATGATTATAAATGTATATCACTATAAGTTTGCAAACTGGAAAAAGAACCCCATATGGAGTGGAGTATTCACATGCAATAGAATAACAAATCTCCACATCACTTTTGTCTCAAATTTTATATAACATGTTTGGTCACAGCTTGCAATAAATTATATATAAAGTGACCGTCAAGGTTTTCTTTCAATATTTTGTTTGGTTCTGTGTAATGCATGAAAGTCTATTAACAACAGGAATATTTATTTAAAAGTTTATTTTGTTTTTACAAAAAAAGAATAATCAATATAATCTTTATGCCTACCAGTATTGCAATCCAAACGGAAGACAAGTTCTGTGTAATGCATGAAGACAGCATTTATTTACAACAGGAATATTGATAAAAAAGTAAATATTGTTTATCCAAAACAAATATACATGCCTATTGCAATCCAAATGGAAGACAAGTTCTGTGTAATGTTACAAAACAAGTATAATCAATATACTGTACATGCCTATTGCAATCCAAATGGAAGACAATTACTTCTGTGTAATACCTTAATATTTATTTACAACAGAAATATTGATAGAAAAGTAAATATTGTTTATCCAAAACAAATATACATGCCTATTGCAATCCAAATGGAAGACAATTACTTCTGTGTAATACCTTAATATTTATTTACAACAGAAATATTGATATAAAAGTTAATATTGTTTTTACAAAACAAGAATGATCAATATAATCTTTATGCCTATTGCAATGCAAACGAAAGACAGCATATAGATGTGTTCAACTCAGGCATTTTATTTCTGTTTGGTTTTAAAGATATTTTATGTACATGGCCTCATTAAAGCCCCTCTAAAGTGTTGGGCGCCCCAGATTCGCAAAAGAATTGATGGCAAAATTTCACTTCAATTGTGTAATGATGTGAAAGAGGATGTCATATAACACTCAACTCTGCAAGGATTTTTTTTTTTAAATGTGTTTGAAGACGAATATTGATGAAAGAATACAAAACTTGGGTTTTGTGTTGTTTGCATAAATTTTGTCTTCTTTCATCAATATTCGTCTTCAAACACCATTATTCTAAAAATCCTTGCAGTATAGTCATGCAGTGTTAAATGACACCCTCTTTCACCTCATTGTACAATTGAAGTACATCATTTTTTGGGCTTGTTATCCCTACACTTTAGAGAGGATTTATTCATTCATTCATTCAATGTATTTTTTGTCCAATGTCATTCAACATGGATATTTGGTTTGCTCACATGTTAAATAAAGGCTTAGACAAGGTTGACAAAGAACAAAAATATAATACAAAACATGGATAGTCATAATACATAATAACTACTGGTAATGATTCTTGTTCGGTTATGGTTTCTTTAGTTCCAGTCGTCTGTATGTGTGTTACACTTGGGGTTGGTAACATTTCTACAACAAACAACCTCCAGAATCAGCTAGATTCTGGAGGTTTCAGAGATGTGTCTCACTTGACCTTGAGTTGCCTTCCTATTTTCTAGTCTCTGGCGTATTACATCTGAAAGTTGAAGAAACAAACAAAAGAAGTATTTTTATGAAGCTGGTAAACTAAAGAGAGAGGCATATTTACAAAAAAACATGATTACTACAATTATACAATACATACTTTATTTATATATTTATTCATTCATTTATTATTATTTTAATTTTTGTAAATTCATTTATGTTTTAAAGGGGCTTATTTCAGTATCAGGGCCGTAGCCAGAGTTTGATGTTTATATGCATATCTCTGATTTGGGCATTGTTAAACAATACCTTTAATACATGTGTACTTTTATTACCCTATTCATCAAGAGTAAAACATTGTGCTCGTTCTCAACTCTATCATAACATTTCATCAACTTATTAGAGAAAGATAAATTTATTCAAACTACTTCTCGTACCTCATGAAGTTTCATGTCTGCTTGCTGTACTGTTGTCCATGGTCTTGTGGATTTAGAGTAATAGTATTACTTTCCACATTAAAGTTGGCACTTGCAGTGGAACAGTGCTGGTAATTACCTTGATGCTTGTCCTTGTTCATGTACATGCCATAAAGTTTGAATGACAGCAACATAATCACTACCCATGTTGTAATACAACATAATACAAGGGTAAGTATACCCACTTTTATCGATCCATAATTGTCCTTCTGTAGTCTGCTCAGGGCATGTTTGATGCTGTTAATGTCTTCTTGATATACAGGAACCACCAAAGTTATGTTATTTTTCTGCACAGGCATCCAGATCCTACCTTTTGTTACATACTTAATGCGTTTTAGTCTGAGTTCCAAACTCAGAGAACGGTTGTCATTTAACCTCTCATCTGTGACTGTATGCAATTTAATGTCCAATTCTCCCCAGTCTTTATCGACTTGTGTGTAGTGGAATTTAATTTTGTAGCGTTCTTTATCTTGCTGGCTTTTTAGTTTCTTGCCTAGGTTTATTGCTGTACCATTTGAGGCAACAATGCAAATCTTAGTTTCATTAAACCATAACTCTGTCAGGTGCGGAATTGGAAGTACTATCTGCATTTCTACTGTAATTTTTTCTTTTTCAAAGTTGGGCAATTCCATGGTGTCGTTTCCTATACATGGCATCCGAGTTTGACTACAGGTAGTCAAATTGAAGTCTTTTTGGCTTGATTGAGCAACCTGAATCAGTGCTAAAATCAAAAGCACAGGAACTACATGTACCTCCATTTTCGCTATTAGATGAATAGGTCTTGATCTTGATCCTGACAGAAGTTAGTAACCGCACGAACAAACAAATTGAATAACGTTTAGCTCCCTGGCCAATTCTTAGATGTATATATTATAAAAGAGTTCGTCTGGCTGGATGGTCCACAAAACAAGGTTGAATTTCAGGTTGCAGCATGCACACTGAAAATATGTCGACTAAATGTATCAATACCGGGTAGCTAGATCAATCCAGATCAACCAGAACAATCGCAGTCGTTCACTCAAACAGTTTTCCATAAAATCATAGTCTAATTGATGGTTGACGCCTCGATTTTGGGATGTCTATATATTACTTTAGTTGGTTTTGGAGTCTTCTATGTGTCCTGATGGCTAAAAGGCCACTTTTGTACTGGCAGAAGCGTTGATCCACAGGTTATAGGCAGGCAAAGTTTTGTGCTTTCGCCGGTCCGGACCGATCTGGATTATTCTTGTAAGCGGTGACCTTTCATGCAGGTCATGAGTGCATTATGGGTTAAATATGCAAAGGATCACGTGATTGCAACTAGACTGCATATCAGTCGCAGTTCATTTACATTTATGTTGCTGATCAAATGATTATAAGCTCACTAAAATAAAATTGTTATTGGAGATGTCATCTTCGAATTAATGAAAGGATTTTGCCTGGGGGTTTGTATTGTATTTCTTGAAAAAATATCTGGCTATTGACTATACATTCAGTCAATATGTTGTCAGCGTGCATACTTCATACAATTCAACCTTGTTTTGTGGACAATCCAGCCGTGAAACTAGAAATCCTTACCAGAATAAGTTCATTGTTTGCAGCTATACTTGTAGGTGGAATTCTTTTATAATGGATATTGATTGTACTTCATAAAAGTAGGTGTAGCAGAGGTCTCTTAGAATGTTTATACCATTTTAGTTGCCTCAGCATATTAAAGCATTTAAAAAGTTTTGATGCTTAGAATGAGACCAATTGGCAGTTAGCAATCACTTCCTTTATTAATCATATATCGTCGGCCTTATGCCAAAAGGGCCTTAACTGCTTTTGGCCATTCCGAGATAATCGCGTTTAAAGGTTTTGGCCTCTGTAATAATCAAAAATTTTGTGGTCGTTTTTTTGTTTTTGAAGCCAATTTCGATAAATATGTTAAGTTATTAAGTTTTACATGAAATGTGTTAAATGTGTTATAAAATATTCAGAATTGTACATGCTATGTGCAAAAAACATGTTAGGGCCTTTTTGGCATAAGGCTTAAATGCAGCGCAATGCAGCGTATTAATGCCAGAAGGGCCGTTACCTACCCGGCATTGTGCCAAAAAGGGGCGTAACCTACGCGTCGCTATGCCAAAAGGGCGCGCATAGTACGCGCGCATAATTAGCGCCCTTCTGGCATAAAGAAATTTTCTTGTTTCGCAACACCTTTGGTTTGCCAGAAAGGCCCTCCTACGGCTGGATCACGAAAACTGATAAAACTGGTTAATTAAATTGTTTTAAAAAGTATTTTTGATATCTGAATATTTTTATTAATATAATGCAGCTTTCGGTAAAGTTATTTTTTAGAGATCGTACATTTAGAACACCTTTTTCGTTGTTTATTTTTAATCACAGTCCCATACGTTGACATCTGCGTATTTCAACGAGTCGGTCGCATTTCATGCATCCATACCTAATTTAAATCTCACTCAGATTTCTTGATCTAAATTTATTACATATACTTTCAGTGATTATTTTAAGTACATTGTGTCTATTCTAGACTAATCATGTTTTTAATGGTGTTTCTACTTATATTTATTGAATTAAATGGAAATTACGAAATAGTCTGTCATTGATAAAAGATTTGCCGTGTAGGGCCCTTTTGGCGTAAGGAAAAAGATGAGATACGCGTTAAGGCCCTTTTGAAATTCATAATTATCTTCATAAATAAATCGAATTTCAACAAGTGAAGCACATCATTTTAAAGAGAATGATGAAATCTACAAGGTGATGTCAATAACTCAATAACCCCCAAAATCGGGTTAAGGCCCTTTTGGCATAAGGCCGACGATATATGAATATATTGCATCAATGTGATGTGATATTTATTTTACGTACTTGTAGAACATGTGAAAGAAATCATGCATTCAATTCCACCACTACTGAATATTCATATTCTGTAGTCTTGTGTCAAAGAAAAGTTTTAGAATAAAAGTGAATTTGGAATTTCATTGCTCATACACATAAAATTACCCCTGATCTTGTAGTATGCTAAAGTAAACACATTGGCCCGTATTCTGAAGTACGGTTTTATTTAAACCCAGGTTTAAGTCTACCGGTAGTCTAAACTTAAACCCAGGTTTAAAGTTAAGCCAAGGTTTACCATAGAGATATGTACAGTAGTCTGCTTCTACTGCACATGCTCAGTATGTACAGCACCCATCTTCCAGGGTACGTAGCTGCTAGCTACAATGTATAGCTGCATCCTCCCAGGCCAGCTGCACTAGCTTGGATTGCACTAGCACTATAAGTCTGTATTGTACAAGATCTACCGGTATACACCCACAATGGCAGAGTCGAGAAAGCCAAGGAAAGCCAACTGTTATACATCAGAGAAACATGCACTTTCTACTTGAATTAATGTCAAGAAGTAAGAGGTTAATAGAAAACAACATTTTGAGGTGTAAAAATTGAGCAAGCAATTATAGCCTGGGACGTTCTCAATGTGGTTCTAAAAAAAAGGGTGTGAAAAGCTGTAACTTAAGTGGCACAGCTGCATGCACCCGCCACGTACACGTTGGATTGTTCAAAATGATTTCTTGAGAAATTGAGCCGACCATGCATGTTCAAATGTTCACGTCACGATGGAGCGTGATGGAAATCACCCAAAAATTACACTTTTCAGTCTAACCTTATATTACCCCCTACCAATTCATTTACTCCGCTCAACTCTAATCCAACCTTACAATTTAATTTTAACTCGCATCTGTTAATGTTTACATCGTTGGGCCAGCGAATTTATCAATGACTCGTCATGGAAGATAGGCTATAGGATATTGTATACTGATCTCAGTTATGTCCCCATGCACTTCAAGCTGCAAGAAAAGCAAGTCTCACCAAACATTTTAGTGATTGATTTGTTTGCTTTTCATTGCAAATAAGGGTAGATATATAGGTATCAAATCATTTAAATCTTCCTGTAATATTGATATGCTATACTATTAACACTCCATTTACCATGATCAGAAATACATGTATGTTTTAAAGTCATGAAAATGTATTCTGAGTTGTTATTTGAAAATAATGCATTTTGGAATCCATGAATGACGACTTTTACAGTTTAAACTGCTCATTCAAGTGATTAATTATTTGTCAAATTAGTATATACCTTATTTTTAAGGGGAATAAATCATTCCTTGATTTTTTTCTCTTTGCAGGAAATGCGTCGGGAGGAGTTCCTTGTGACGCGGTTGATGCGTCAATCTCAGCAGGAGCGGCGCATCGCCACACAGCTACTGCAGCTGAGGCACGAGAAGGCCGTCATCCAGCAGAACCGTATCTCCCGCCAGGAGCAATATGAAGAGCGTCGTCAGAAGGACTTCCAGGAAGCACTGGACAAAGAAGCGGTATGTCAGAAACTTTCTTTAAACTTAGGGGTCCAGGAGGCTGTGGATGCCTACAGGGGAGATGAGATCCTAGCAAGTGGAATATTTAATCTCTCTCTGATTACTCTTTCACTTGCATGCTAGTTTATACTAGCCAACCACACTGAAGAACTCCAGGGGGGCATTTCACAAAGACTAAGATCAACTTTAAGTTGGACTTAACTATGGCAGGCCATTCATGCCATTGGTTGCTCTCTCCATTGGTCTCTCGATTTTGATCTTTAGATAATGTTTTTTCCTTAAAGGTAAAGACCAGTATTGGCAATGCCCCAATTTCAAAAAATGAAATGGAAGCTCTCATTACCAATCATGTGAAAGAATATGTTTTGACTAATACATGATGATAAAAAATTTGCCGGGAAACCGCCTACTAATTCATATATTTGGTAAATTTATTTCTCTCATGGTCTGGTGAGAGAGATAGGGTAGTCCCATATACATCTTTCTGTGTATAGTGCTTGTAACTTTACGAAGAATGAGCCAAATTTCTTATCATTTTGATGATTCCAGAACCTTGCAGATGCTAGATGCTAGATGATCGACCTTTTCTGATCGATTCCACAACGTTTCTTTCACAATGCAATCGCATGACCATTACTGGTCTTTACCTTTAAATAATGAACTACAAAAAAATAAAAATTCTGTAGATTTTTGACCATGCTTGTTACGTCCCTTGAGAAACCAATGCCAGTAAATGATGAGAGAAAATAGTAGCATGAACGGCCTGCCATAGTTAAGTCCAACTTAAATTCAATCTTTGTGAAACACTCCCCTGCAGATATTCTCCTGATGATGAGTAGAGCACACTATACAGGGCACGTGATGATCTTTCATTAGAAGAATATCATAGTTTGAACCCCTCTACCAAAACTGCTTAAATGAGGAATACATGTTTACCTATATGATCTTGCATCTCCTTGATCAATGTGTTTTAGATCACAGAATCAATTTTGCTATGTCAGATTTCTAAACTCTCTAGTTTCTATAAACCTATTTTGAAATATTTTCTTTTCTTTGTTAATTCTTATTTTCTTGAACCGTAATTGGTAGGCAACTGCTAGGATCAAGAATTCACTTTTGCTGCCTAAAGCACCTTTAAATATATAATTTTACTTTTATTGCTGTAGCATATTGTTATTGATTTGAAAAGAAATGTGCACAAATATGACCATAGAACTTCCTCAGGAATATTTGAGAACTAGGGGGTGTTTCACAAAGATCCTAAGTCGAACTTAACTCTAAGTTGGACTTAAAAATTATGGAGAGCCTTTTGTAGCATAAAATTAAATATATTCAATAGCGAAAATTCAAGTATGTTTGAGTTGTTATAAATTCCACATCAAGAACATGAAATCTCTTTGATGATAGAAATGATGAATGATTTTAATCAACATTTTATGCCTGTTGAAATAACTTTTACAAAATATTTTCAATGATGCTAATTAACAGCTTTTCATAATTTTTAAGTCCAACTTAGAGAAGTTCAACTAAGGATCTTTGTGAAACACTTCCCTGATCTCCCATGCAAACAGGAAATGGCCCGCCAAGCCAAGCTGGAGTACATTGAGCAGACCCAACGAGACAAGGAGCTCCATGACCAGATAGCTCAGGACAGGGCCGACGCCAAGTACCAGAAGCACTCCAACCACTGCAGGGACATCCTCCTGGACATTGTGGACTTCTCCTGCAAGGTCGGCAAGTACAGGGAGCTCACCAATAGGTCAGTCGATTGATACCTACAAACATCTCTTCTTTCAATTCTTTAAAGATAAAGTTGGGTTCTGTTCATTGTGAAAGAAACGGTGTGGAATCGATCAGACAAAGTTGATCATGTAAAGCATATAAGTATTTGTGTGAACTGCAAGGTTCCGGAGTCACCAAAATGATAAAAAAAATTGTGCAGTCTTGGTAAGGTAACAAAGCACTGTACAAGCAATTACAATTATGCTCATGCACAAACTGTTTTTCACCTCTCCCCAGAACTCAACCTCCTCTTTAAAGAGAACTTCAACAGTATACTGAATTCATTTAGCATTCTTACACATGTTCAACAGTTCACAGCACTATACAGCATTCAAATTAACAAGCATAACTGGAACAAAGTTATACGGTCATCAATGAATTTAGCAAGTTTTGAAAGCCTTCTTAAAGGCATCGTTTAACATTGTTAAATCTGAGATACATGGCCCTACGTGTTATCAATGTCTATGATATGGTGTAATACTGAAGCCCTAACAAAATTGCCCTTCAAAATGATCATGAAGTGGCTCAAAAAAGTAAAAATCTTTGAGTGACTGGTTTTACCATACTCATTTTCTACAATAGACTGTAGTGTTATAAAAACCTTTAGGAAAACGAAAAATGAAATCTCGATTTCCAATCATAAATATCTTGATAATCGGACGGGCGATCAGGCTTGTAAAAGTCATGGGATTCATGACTGACCTAAAGGTTAATAATTATGATTGCAGCATGAGCTAAATCCAGGATTTTGTTTCAGAATCTGAGTCAATGTTACTGAGTCACTTTAAGATATAGAGATAAACCACCTCACACATTTCTCAATAGTGAAATAAAAAGCATAAGCATTTGTCCATTTACATATAAACATTGTTTTATTTCTGCTTGGAGCTAAAAGGGCGTTAACTCTGTGATTGTATGATTGAATGATTTGTATACTAATGATCAAATCTAAGAATTTTACTCCTATAGTTTAAACCTGTTAAGATAAAGTACAGTTCTTTGAGACATCGTAGATATGCTGAGCTCTTTATAAACCCAGGATATTGATTATTCATATTATACACCATATCAAGTATCATTTCCGAACTATCCCTCATTCTGTCTTACAGGTTATTACCACCGAAACTAATGAGAGACTGGACTCTCTTGTTCACCAACGGCCAGCCCTTGTATGAGCAAGTAGAGGTAAGAGAAATGGTACCAATCTTTAGTAAGGCATATGCAACAGCTCTACCAAGAAGGTGTTTTCTATTTATTTCCTTTTTTATTTATTTTGTTATAATAATTTGTTTCAATTGTTGTCTGGCAAGCCTCAATTGAATGACGAAAAAATATTGATATATCTGTAAAGTGCTAAATGAAATCGTGAATATGTTATCCACTGTATAAATCTAGAATATATCTATGAATTTATTTATTTACCTATTTATTCTGTTTTATTTAAACAGGGTAGCCCTGTCAGTAATCAAAGTACTGTTATTTAGGGGGCCCTGTAAATAAATGCAATTCTAGCATGAATATTGTTATTAATTTGACTTTTCTTCAGGAGGAAGAGTTCATTGAACCTGAGGTACCCACTGAAGAGCAGCTCATGGAGGAAGAAAGACAGATGCTGATTGATGAGGGAGACTTCTTAGAATACAAGGTACCCATATCAGCCTCTTTTAGACATGACGTGAACCCCGCATTGACAAAGCTGAAATGAATGGGAAGAGACAGTATTTAGGGGGTTAAAATCCCTCTGAGCACTCTCAAAATCTGTGTGTTATAAGAAACAGAAATGTGTTAACATTTTAAATCTTTGATTCTCTAAACTTTGTGATTATTTAAAGCGTTTTCAGCCTCATGCCTGAATAAATCTCCAGAAATGTGAAACATGTGAGTGTGTATGGCTGCTTTGACTAGTTTTAAATATATGACATTTTTAATATTGGAAGTTATAGAATGATAACATGGAACCCCTAACACACAGAGCAAAATTAGTTTGGTGATTTAACGCTTATAATAAGAAGTCTTTTCTAATTCATCCTCTTTTGCTTTGTAGAATATGGTCGGTGAATGGCAGCCTCCTGAGGATAGTGAGATCAAAGGCATCCCTACCAACAATGCCGTCTTGGGTCACATCTTGGCTCGTCTCTTCAACATCGTTTCTCCTCCATCGGTAAGTCATCTTATTTCTGAGCAAACGACTTAGTGCAGAAAGCTTTCATTCTCTATTGTATGAATGAGTGACAAATCAATTTAACTTGTGAATTAGTTATCAGTTGTGTTTCTTTTATATTTAATTGGTAGTGTCGATCCTGTAAAGATAACAAAAACGCTTATGATTATGGTATCTCTGTTTAGAGCCAGCAGGCATTTACTGTTGATCACAAGAATCAAGTGATTGCCCTACTTGCCCTATGTAAACTATGGCGATGATGGTGATTTTAATCATGATGGTGATGACAAGGATGATGATGTTGCTGCTGATGATGATAATGGTGATGGTGATGTTGTTAATGATGATTATGATGATGAAGAGGAGGAGGAATATGAAGACGGTATACCCTAGATTACAGATTCTAGAACAGTTGTGTTTTCAGCTCGGATTTAAATTATTCCAACTGAGTGATATTCCTCAAGTTTTTAAAGTGATAGAAATAATGGTTATGTTGGTGATGATGATAACTATAAAAATGACAAATGCAATGATTAGATTTCATTTTCAACTTATTCCGATTTTACACCGTTGCTTCCCTCTTCCCTTTTCAGCCCCCTCCCGCTCCACCCGACATGCCACCGTTCCCTGTCAAGGCTTGTTTCCTGGGCAAAGCTTTCTGTGGCAAGACAACTCTAGCAGAACACATGGCGCAAGGTAGGCAACTTCTCTTAACCCATTGCCTTCTGGGACCGGGTGATTTCTGTGTTAAACCTATGGGAAATATGAGATTTCAGTATAGTCAACGGTTTAAGTTATGTTGAGATGAATATTTGAACTTACAAGTGCATTCAAGTTTTTTAACCTCATGAGCTTGCCACATTTTTGTTTCTAGGCAAAGCCAAAACATGCCTGACATAACCATCAACTGTTTTATTTTTTTAAAAGTTTATGAAACGTTAGGAATTTGATGGTACATGTATTGTAATGAAAGCATTAGATGTTAGTGTGAAAAATTTGTTTAAATTTTTTTTATCTCATAATGTATGGTCCCCGTCATTTATTTAAGAGAGCTGGTCTTTGTTCTCAGTTACCCTCTCACTTTCTTTCCCCTTCTCCTATCACCATCTCTCTTTCTCTCTTCTTCTCTTTCTCTCCCCTTCTCTTTCTCTCCCCTTCTCTTTCTCTCTCTTTCTCTCCCATCTCTCTTTTTCACTCTCTCTCTCTCTCTCTCTCTCTCTACCTTCTCACCATCTCTCTTTCTTCCCCTGTCTTTCATACTTTATTTTCTCTCTGTCTCTCTCTTCTTTGTCTACTCCCACCCCTTTCTCTTTCCCTTTCACTCTCTCCTTTTCTCTCTCCATATTGTGTTGTGTCACTGACCATGAACAATGTTAACTTCTTTCTTCCACTCACTCCCGCAGAGCATGGTCTGAAGGTGTTGAACATGGATGCCTTAGTCCAGGAGGCTGTGGATGCCTACAAGGGAGGCGAGATCCTAGAATTGCCTGAAGCCTCGACCGTAAGTACTCCCCCTTAACATCCGATTCCCTGCATCTGCCACCAAAGGTGCTCTTGAAAGCACATTGTCAAAATTATTCAATTTTTTAAATATTTATTTCGTCCACAATATGAAAATATGCTTCCCACCAGCATTACAACAGCACAAGAAACAAAGTACAATAATGTGAAACATGCAAAACAATTGGGCAAACAATTTCAAAACAGAAACAAATCTTTTCCTTTCACAGAAATAATGTTTACAACATCCAAAATTGTTAAGCTTCTTTTCTGATTAGATGATTAAAAGACTGCTCAACCATGGGTCTGTCTGTCAGTGATCATTATAAGGGCATAATTGATGATCATGAGGCATTGATGTAACCTGCTTTTATAGCTGGCAAAAGAGCAAAGACATAGAAATACTGAAAGATTACTTGTTACGATCTGTTCATTTGTCCACATCGGATCAGACTAAGTTTGCTAAAAAATTGGAAATGATTCTGATCATTTATTAAGAATTTTATAACAAATTAAGGCATACAGATGGACAAACAAATTCCTACAGACTCATACATATTCCCTCCCTAAAAACATATATGTGAGGGTAACAACAACAAAAAACAGAGAGAAAGAGAGAGAGAGAGAGAGAAAGTTGGGGGAGGGGTGACTGCATGATTGACAGACAGCCAGACAACACATTGTTTAGTTGGGTGAATTAATGTTTTTTTTGTTTTTTTAAACTTGTTCAGGAGACCATTACTGATGCTGGTGAAGGTGAACTTCAGACGGATACACAGAGTGGTGTTAACATCTCCACCACTCTCACCCCTGCTCCATCTAGCTCTGCAATAGATGGTAAGTTCATAATACAGCAAAGAAGTGAACATTTACCAGTCAAAGGGATCATTGTATGAATAGATTGATTTTAACCTTTATAGTTTTCTCTTTTTACGGATTTATATGCAAGTTCATGTTTTATGTTGAAAGCAATTATTCTCAATGCATTTTAACTGCAGGACATTTTGCCAGTTCAGGGATTTGAAAACATTTCTGATGATATGACAACGTTAAGTGTAATACACTTCACAATTTTGTTTCACATAACACAAAGTTAAGTTTTAAGTTGCGTGCCATTCATTTACAAGAAAAAAAAGGATGATGTTTTTGTTCTTGTAATTTTGATATCCGATTTAATTATGACATCTACATTTCAAGAGTATGAATGCACTTGGAAAACTTTATGAGATAGACATTGTCATTAATTTAAAGGTATTCCTGGATTTTGGAAATGAAGAACAATTCAATCTTACACAATCATGTGAAGCTTCCCCTTCTTGTTTAAGACTGCAAGTAAATTCCATCTGCAAAAAAATGTTGGTAAAAATCATTTAAAACGAGGATTAGTCCACAACTGTTTGAGAAGTTTGGTATGCAAGAAAAAGATTCAATGCACTGCTAGAACTTGTCTTCTTTTCATTTTTCACCACTTGTAGTGTATTTGTACTTGTATTTGTACTTTTAATGTATGTTAAAGCATCAGTTTCATTAAATGAACATTATATTTTGTATGTTTGAATGATCAGCTAAGTCTGTAGCCTCAGCCAAGACAGCAGTAACTGCTCAGCCCGCACCTCCTTCAAGGGATGCTTCACAATCAGCCCTACTGGAAGAAGGCAAGGAGAAAGGTGCGTATTTTAACCCACTGCCTACTGGAACCGGGCGGCCCCTGTATTAAGCCTATTGCAATGAAAGAATTTGGTAGTCAATGGTTTACCATTGAAACGTGTATCAAATGTTGATGTTTAATTCTGTTTTAGTGTAGTAAATTTGCATCAAGATATGCTTATTTATTCCAGGGGGTGCCATGAAAAATGACTGGATCTGCTTTTTATCCAAGGAGGAACAACAAAATTACTTTTAATAGTTCAATTGTATTTATTTTACCAGATTGAAAGTACTACCCTATATATTGATGCGGTCATCAAAGTAGTTTAATTGTTTATTGATTCAGCTGAGAATGAAGAAAAGGCATCTAAATGTTAAAAGAATAATTATCAATATTTGACAAGGGAAATAAGTGTTTGATTATAATGGTAATAATAATGATAATGATTAGGATTCTAATTGAATCATAACATGATGTACAATTACCTCTTCATATTAAGAGAAGTCATTTTTTAGGATTTACATTCCATAATTGTCAACTGCCATATAATCTTGCCTCCCATTATACCTTTTAGACTAAATTCTCAACATAGATATTAAAAAGTCTGATATTGGTTGTCACTCTAGCAGTTTTGCACAAAACAATGGACGAAAGGATTGCTTTATGCAACACAATGGCTTTGCAATCTTACCCATTTCTAGTCTTTATCAGCTCATTGATAATCCTTTTAACACCCGCATAGATTAATTTTATACTGGAAATCTTGAAACCTTTGGTACAATATATATATATATATTTACGAAGATCCCATAAAATAAAGAATGTGTCACAGTGAGATTATCTGTGTTTAATCTGAGATTCATAGTGAAAAGAACAACCTGAGAAGAGTTCACTGTGTAGTAAAACCTAATTTAGAGTACATTTGTAAAGCCCTTCTACCTTTTACATTTATGCTATATTTTTGTTCTCCTTCGGCCCAGGAGATGAGGAGAAACCAGAAGGACCCAAGGAGGACGGAGGTGCGGAGACCAAGGAAGGAGAAGCAGCGGATTCCAAAGAGCCCAAGTCAACCAAGAAGAAGAAGAAGGATAAACCTGAGGTAATAATATTGAAAACATTTTGTCTTCGCCTATTTTGCAGTTTACCAATTCATGATGATAAATACGACTTAACTGAGATCAGCCATATGTTTTTTTTCTTTTCACAAACTACATATTTGTTTTACCAGAAATATATTCTTTGTATATCTGTATATGTTATAAAGGGTTGATAAGTATTCCAGTATACATAAAACTAACAGGGCTACCATGATTAAAGAATACACAGTAAATTGATAAAATATATATTTATTTATAACTATGTATGTGCCGTAAGAAAGTATCACAGGTTTTCTCGAAATAATTATGATAATATTGCTATTGATATCAGATTCGTCTTCCCCTTTGTGTGCATGTTTTCTGAATGAGCTTTCATTTGCGTAATTTCACACTTTGGTTTGTTTCTGTTTTGTTTTGATAGCTGAGTGGCCGAGGTAAGCTGGGTCAGAAGGCCATCAAGCTGCTTAGGAAAGGTCAACCTCTCAAAGATGAGCTCCTGATTGAGATCATGGTCGAAGCTGTCAGGTAATAGTCCACTTATTACCCTTTGCTTACCACAAAGCCTTTTGTTTGTTAAGGATATTGGCCAAAATGTTATATGGATGGTGATGATCTTATATAATCTGCTTTGGATAGACCCCTCGTGTTTTAATGATTTCTTATGATTGGGACTTATTTAAACATCTTACCATCTGCTGTCGTCGATTGCACCTCTTTGGAACTTTTCAAGCAGAAGGTGCAACACATCAAGCTCCGTTGAGCTTCAGACTGTTTTTTAGCTGCACATAGAATTCTTGTAGAGCCTTTTTACTTGCACTGTACACTCGGCACTTGACAAACACAGGTACGATAATACGCCAACGGCGGACTGTACTATACTGGAAGAAGAAGAAGAAACAGCAGTATGAATGGAATTATCTATCTTTAATGAAAATCATTATTAAATTTGCTGAGTAAACTTACAAATGCTTTACATGATCATTTTTCTAACTTTCAGGGATGTTTTTTTGTTAATTCTAGACAGATTAAAAAAGTATGCTTCTAATTGCACAAACATGTCAAATTGTTGTATTTGTTGTTGAATTCAGCATTATAAAGTAATCAGTCAAATTTTACTAAATTTTCTGTGAAATAATATCTTTAATATATGGTGTTCTACCTCAATCATTTTGTTATTTGTTTTTTGTTTTAAATGATATTTTATTTCCTTCCTCATAATTTCACATAACAAGAAATTCATATAACAAGAAATTATCAAAATAAGCAATATAAAACAAGATCTTTGATACAAGACACTTCATGAATTACATCAATCAATGAACAACATACAAAAAATCTCAGATTATACATGATTCTACATTTTTTTCTTGCATGTAACAGTGTATAATCAAAATAACAGTAGAGGAAGGTTTAAAGTTTGTTATGGATAAATCTCAACTCCCTCTACCTCCCTCTGTAGGCGCGCCAAGGATGAGCAGGGCTGGATCATGGACGGCTTCCCCTCCACCCTTGCCCAGGCCAAGCTGCTAGAGAAGGCCCTGAGCGGGTATGACGCCAACGCCAAGACGTCCAAGCAGAAGCTCAGGCAGAGCCGTCTGGCCCTTGACCCTCACCCGCCCAAGGACCCTCCTCCTCCGGTCAGCGGGATTGATCTGGTCGTCCATCTGGATGTGTCCGATGACCTAGCCATGCGTAGGGCTGCCGGACGCTATTGTGAGTTTAAGATACTGATTTTTAAAGTATTAAAAATGGATATGTCGAAAATAATAGCACTATTGATATTCACTTATCTCGCAATATCATTTCGATACTATATCCGCAATGAGTAATATTTAGCATTATTTATATATCTTGTAATCTCCTTTTATGACCAGAGGGTATGTTAAGAAAGCAAGTACCGTATATGCTTGAACATTGACATATAAATGTTATTTACAACCCATTAGGTATCATTTTAACAAGTTGTTAAAGAGATTGAGTTTGGGCTCTACCCCTTATTAACATTTACATTTTATATTTCCCCAAAAACATTTGTCTGAGGAATATGGGATGATAGCAGTGGCAATCCTTTGCAATTTATTTCAAATACCATATTTGAATTGATCCTTTTAGACAAGACTTGAGCAGGAATGTAGCCAATCAGGCAAAAGGGGTAGACCCCCCCCCCCCCCTTATTCAGAAGGAAAAGCATTTGAATGAACTTGCTTGTTCAGGATTCCCCCTCCATTTGAAATCCTGTTTACTAAGTGCATTTTTACCCTAGAAATACTGTTCCACATTGAGTTATTTTTTAACATATCCTGACTTCTATCGAGTTCCCTCAAATCCTATCCCACTGTACAGCAACAGCTGAATGAAAAATATGTTTGTTTCTTATGCAGATGCTAACCAAGAAGAAGAGGAATACCACCAGGAGTTCAAGCCTCCACCAGAGGGCAGCGCATCAGGTGTCGGCAAACAGGAGAAAGTCCAACCGGTCAAGGATCCAGCCTTTGACCAGGAGCAGATCCAGCACAGGTTAGCTATCTAAAGCTTGGTCTTAATTATTGTTCAGAGATAGTTGTAAAACTTTTGCTCTGCCAATGATTGCTCAGGGGTCCCATTACGTAAAATTTCTGAATTCCTAACTTCAATCCAGGGGAGTGTCTCACAAAGACTAAGATCGCCTTGAAGTTGGACTTAACTATGGCAGGCCGTTCATGCCACTAGTTCCTCTAACCATTCTTGACATTGGTCTCTCAAGGGACGTGCAATTCGAGGTCACAATTCTACAGAATTTACCTTTTTTGATAGTTCATTATTGAAGGAAAAATATTATCTAAAGATCATAATTGAGAGACCAATGGTGAGAGTAACCAGGGGCATGAATGGCCTGCCATAGTTAAGTCTAACTTAAAGTTGATCTTACCCCCCCCCCCCCCTCCCCCTAGGACTATTCACAGTACCAACACATGTATAATCATAAATTGTTACCCTGACCATAAACCTTACCTAAACCTAACTTAAAACTTAATTGCAAATATCACCATGTATCTTTGACGAAAATAGCAGAGAGCAAATAACTGGTCATCTTATAGACATATATTTTGAACTGTTTTCACTTTTAAAAGGATAAGTCGTGAATCTTTAAAAATTGCATTATATAGACTCTGCCCTTGTAAAGTATATTTTGTGTTGTAATCATATAATGATTTGTCACCTTTTTGTAACTCCTGCAATGGAAATTCAATTTCCCCTGCAGTTATATTTCTATATATCAACAACTTCATTTCATTTCTTTTCATTTTGTTTATTTCCATTTCCTACAAAATAAATAAAGTACATGGGATTGCATTGTACATAGTAAAACAATGAAACTTAATGATATATTTGTACTTGGTCCTCAGTGTACAACTGGGCTGCGTCTCACGAAACCGTCATAAGTACAAGTTGAGCGACATCCCATTGAAATGCGTGTTAAACTTAATACACGCATTTCAATGGGAGGTCGCTCAACTTGTACTTATGACGGTTTCGTGAGACGCAGCCCAGGCATATAAAACAGGTTGGTCATGGAGGGGACTACTTAAAAGGAATACTCCTTTGAGATAACAATGAATGTTCAATTCCATTTTTAAATTTACACTGTTCAATTGAACAATTGGTTCTATCAAGGTTCATAAGAATTCGTATCAACATTAAATTACTGAGGTGATAATGATGTCAAATATTTCCTTTCTGTTTTGCTTCTTTTCTCACCTCAGAATTACTGGATTCCAAGATTCTTGGAAGAAGATGGATAAGTGGTTCTCAAATTTCCACATTCTCCAAAAGCTGGATATTTGCATGGAAAAAGAGGAGGCCTGTCAAGCCATCAAGAATATCATGGTCGAGACCAAGGAAAAGGTAAAATAACGTTCACCGAAGAAAGTAGTAGTGGTTGTGAAAGGTAGTGGTGGAGGAGGAGGGGGGGGGGGGGGTAATGATTGTGATGGTGGTAAGAGAGGGGGGGGGTAGTGGTGTCAGTGTCGGTATTGGTGGTGATTTGTATGATTTTGAGGTGAGATGGTTAGGGATAATAGTAATGTGTTATGCTGGTTCTGGAAAATACAGTCTACTTTTAATTCATGTATAAGACTATTTGGGAATTGCATATGTATGCACTGCACAAACATTTGGAAAGAAGGATAAGTTTATCTGATTTCCATACTTTTTTGATACCACAATCTTCTTCTGAGTTTATCTTTAGTCCTGCTACCCTCTCCATAAAATGTGTCAATCATTCTTGTTTAATGCATACTTGCTAATATTTGATTCAATTGTAATACAGTCAAGCCTGTCTATAGTGACCACCCAAGGAAAATACAAAAAAAAGTGGTCTTTGTAGACAGGTTCCTTTAGTACATGTTTCAATGAGAAACCATTTTCAAGAGAAACAAAAAATGTGGTCTTTTTAGACAGGTGGTCACTAAAGCAGGTTTGACTGTTTTGAAAGAATGGTGATTGAATCTTTTGTTTCACCTTGTCCGTTCTCTATAGATGGAGAAGGCCAAGGAAGATGCCTTGAAATCAGAGGAGGAAGCCTCAAAGACAGCCGAAGAAGCTCCTCCAACCACAGCTGATACCAGCTCAGCTGTACCCTCTGAGGGGATGGAGTCCACCGCTCCCCAGCAGCCTGATTCACAGGTAAGGAGGACTAAAGGATAGTGGAAAAAGTATGATGGTGGCGGTGGTGGTGGTGGTGGTGGTTGTGGTGATGATGATGGTGGCAGTGGTGGTGGTGGTGATGGTGGTGGTGGCAGTGATGGAGGTGGTGGTGGTGGTGGTGGCAGTGATGGTGGTGGCGGTGGTGGTGGTGGTTGTGGTGATGATGATGGTGGCAGTGGTGGTGGTGGTGATGGTGGTGGTGGCAGTGATGGTGGTGGTGATGATGATGGTGGTGGTGGCAGTGATGGTGGTGGTGGTGGTGGTGATGATGATGATGATGATGATGTGCATGATGATGTGCATGATGAGGTTGGTGATGATGATGAAGAAAAAGATGATGATAAGGTTGATGATATGGTAAAATTGATGATGTAGTAATGTGATGGTATTGGTGATAATGATGGAGGTGGTCCTAATGTTTGGTTTTGTTACAGTCATGGTTGTCAAAATGAGATGTCCATTAGTTATATTAGGGTCAATATGTATTCAAATTTCTTGATTCGTTTCATTCCAGACCGCTGTATCAGAAGCTGACAAAGCAGCAGCCTCGCCAGGAGGATCTAGAACTGGTATGATATGAGCTGGCTTCAGTAAAGGCTGATGGTTATTGGCCTGTATTATTAATTTTCTTTTGTGCAGAGGATTGGAGGGATGAGAGAGAGAGAGAGACAGAGAGAGACAGAGTGAGGAGAGATAGGGTGTTAAGCATAGAAATGGATGCCGTATTAACAATAAATCAAAAAATTAAAACACATCTTGAAAGAATTGATTTGAAGTATAGAAATGCATTCATTGTTGATTATGTATTTCATGATAATAATAATAATAATATGCCATGTTTACCCAGGATAGCCTCATTACACTGTTCACCCTTAGGGCATGGCAATCATATTATTACCCTGGCTTTAGCCCAGCCACTATGACAAGGCACCCACATTTTTCACATCTTTCTGATAGTAAATTTTCATACTACTGTGTCATTGAGCAGACCAGTGAACATTTCTTCATTTCTCATCATTTCTGTAGGGTCAGCTAAAGGCAAGGGGTCAGCTCGGGGCAGGTCACCCAAGGGTGAGAAAGGTAAAAGGTCAAGGAGCGGGAGTGCCAAGAAGTCGCCTTCCAAAGAGGGTAAGTGTACAATCCATGAATGTTCGATTCTCGGACGTAACCAAGTGTATTTGATACGTATCTTAGCATGACAAATGACAGTTCAAATTGTTACCTATAAGTAATATTGTGCCATTTATTACAAGTTGGGCATCCTCAGTGGTGACCTCCACTGGATTTCAACCAGTGGAAAATGAATTTCCAAAAATGGACAATAAACTAAATATACCTATACTAGCAAGTGCATTATTATATTGGTTATTGATGAATGTATGGTATAAGTAATGAATATTTATGAGTATATGGAAGGGAGATGAACAATAATTCAAAACTTACGTGGATGAAATCAATAGTGTATGGCAAAAAGTGTATGATATTTCTGCTTATATTTACATGAGTTTGATGGAAAGCGAATTTAATACAATACATTGAAATTGATGAAAATAGTGATGAATATTCATGAGCATGAATAATTGATGAGTGTATGATGTAGGTAATGAATATTCATGAGCATTTCCTTCATCCATCGATGCGACTCAAAGGAAGGAAGAGTGCCAAAGAAGACAAGAAGGCCAAAGGTATCCTAGAATCTAACATTCAAAACCCTGTAAAATAACACAGGTCTCACAAGAGTGTGTACTAACAATACACTTGCAATCCCTCTTTATCTAATAAAGAGAAATAATTTCACTCCATGGCACAAGGTTTTTTAGCAAACATCAAAAATTGTCTCACTCTGATATGAGTGGGGGTAGGCGTCTGGCAAAATGGATAGTATAACATTTTAACTTGTGCACCCATGCTTGTGTTGATATGCTATCTGGCTGTGCTGTACATGTAGCTGTGTCAAACTGTATAAAACATACTACAAGTTACCTTGAGATATGTTATTAGTATTGTAGAAATAAATGTAATTGGAAAGAATCCATTCTTTCTTTCTTTTTTCGTTGACTAATATGCTACAAGTTTGACAAACACGAAAGACATGCAGGGAATTTATTGTTCTTTTTCATTTTCCTCTCTTGACTTTGTTTCTTTCAGAGCTGTAACTATCTAATGTTTAATTTATTCAGATTATATTTTTGTTGAAAGGGTTAGAAAGGTGCAATTTGAATGTTAATATGCATACAACGAAAGCGTAATTTTGTACCTTTTTTAAAATTCCTCAATTTCACTTTTGTTAATGAATTTGCAAAGAGTTCATAAAATTCTGATCTAAACCTATCCTGCAAATGGATAACAGTAAAACCACATTCTGAAAATTCCCTCACCACTTTTTTTGCACAAAGCATCCATAAACCAATTAATACACCTCCTAATACAGCACTTGGTTTACTCCAGTAATTCAGACTAACGTTGTGCTTGCCCACTTGACACAGAAATGACAGTTTAAAAACTTCCTGTACATTCAGACTCTAGGGGTCAAGATAAACAAATATCTTAGGGGAAAATATGACAGGAATGGTATTGTAATGAATTAGGAGTATTCTTTATGATTTTCATGTAGCCTAATGTAAGTCTTTAAAGTTTCATTAAAATGTGAGAACAATTTTTAACATCATGAATCTTAGTACCATGGTTTTATTAATCACTGCACTAAATGACAATTAATGATTTAACAAGAGGAATCCTTTCTTTTGCTTCAGTTGTCTTTTCTTTACCTTGTATTGTTGTTTAGTATCTTCTACATGCAAAAACAAAAAATATAAAAAGGAAAAATGGAAAGAAAAATGACTTAATGTTCTCTATTTAACAATCTCTTGATAACATAATCTGTGAAAACTACAGGTATTTCAAGGATGCAACCTGATGGTCGTAGATGTTAGGTGATGATGTTAAATGGTTTTCATCTGTAGATATTCAACACTTACAACAGCACCCAACATTAGATATGCTATCTGTTTCCTAGGTGCCTCGCCCAAGAGGAAGGGTTCACGCAGTAAGTCACCCAAGAAGCGCCGCACCCCTACCCCTGAACCAGAGCCTGAACCCGAACCCCCTGCTGAGCCCACCGGTCCACCCCCTCCTCAGCCTGGCTCAGAGGACTGGGTCTATGTGGATGAACCTATAGATGAGGTAGGGGTTCAAGACTCCTATGGTTTAATACTTCCTAAGGCCCGTATTCTCAGAGCCACCTAATTTAGGGCCACCTAATTTAGGGCCAAGTTTAAAACCTCTTATGTGCTTTGGTTTAGTCCATCGATTTATGGACTATCAAATATCAACATCTTCATTTTGTTTAAATCACCTAATACCGGTAATTCTCTTAGTAAATGAAAAGATGAAGGCATGTCACTATGAAATTACTTGATTTTTGGTTTATGAATATAATGGGTACTTTAGATCTAGGACAAGATTGTTATATATGCTTGTAATTTTTCCTTGCCACGTTGAGATTCCCATATATTTAGAGATATCAATTTTCTTACTGTGTCTAAATTATATCAAACTTTGTTAAAAACTGCTCTGATTTTTTCGTCTTTCTTAAAATACTCTGAAATAGATGACCATAGCAGACCTGCCAACCAATACGATTTAGTCATATTTAGTACGATTTTTAGAAGCAAATACGACAGTACGATTTTCCTTACTAAAATACGATTTTCAAAACAAAAAAAAACGATTTTTTTTTTTTTTTTTTTTTTTTTTTAATTAATATTTTGTGTGTGCGTCCGCCATTTTCAATGGCAAAATGTCCATTCTGTCCTGTAAAGTATCCTACAAGTATCTCACATCAGAAATTTGGGGATGTTCATTGGTTCATCGAACACACCAGTCATGACAAAATCATGCATATTCAACCAATGATCAATAAAAAAAATTCTTTCTGTAGGTAGAAACCGTAAGAGGCATTGATCTGCGTAACAATCCGTGTTTATTTTCAAGAATACAACTTTTGTCAGTAAAATACAACTTTTGGGACTAAAGAATACAGTTGTTGAATTCCAGAGGTTGTCTGCCATAGAGCCCAGGTCGAAAATCCCATAGAGACCAATAGAGACCATTAGAAAAATTCTATTGGTCTCTAATGGTTTCTGTTGGAGTCTATTGGTTTCTGTTGGACCCATAGAATTGAATCCAATAGAGACCATTCAAACCATCAGAAACCAATAGAAACCAATAGAAATAGAAACCAATAGGACCAATAGAAACCAACAGGACCAATATATAGGACCAATAGAAACCAATAGGACCAATAGAAACCAATATAGACCAATAAGACCAATAGGACCAATAGGACCAATAGAAAACCAATGAGACCAATAGAACCCAATGGGACCAATAGAAACCAATAGATCTAGGTCCAATAGAAACCAATAGAAACCAACAGCTAAATCTATCTCATGCATATTCATGATTACTTTATACGTGTTACAGAAAATTACATTTATCATAATTTGTTAAGCAACTTATGACAATGTACATCAATTCTGTGATTTTTATTTTCTTTCGGCAACTAATGACCAATAGATTATTTGTTTAATCATGTTACAATTTCATTCACGTTTTAGCAATAGATATATTGATTATAAGCCCTGTTATAATGATTACTAACCAAGAAACAATTCATGTATGTTTATTATATAGAATAGTACAAGCCTTCAGTTAAAATAAAGGATCTTCTCAAACTCACTTTAAGTGATCTATGTGATGAAGTTAATGCAATTGAGATTAGAATATACTTTTTTGGTGGACAGTTGCTAAAATCGATTTTGATTTATCATTATTGATTTACCAATAGAAGCCATTGGACTATTGGTTTCAATAGGGAATTCAGGATATGGGACCATTAGAAACCCATAGAAAGATCTCTAATGGACCAACAGGAACCCATAGACAATATCTAATGGACCAACAGAAACCCATCATAGAAGAAAATATCTAATGGACCAACAGAAACCCATAGAAGACATGGGTGGATGCTGGTCCAATAGAAGCTTTCTGTTGGTCCATCAGATTTCTTTCTGTGGGTTTGTGTTGGTCCAATAGATATTTTCTAATGGTTTCTGTTTCTCCATCATTTCACTTTCCCTATTGAAACCATTAGACACCAATAGCTCTAATGGTTTTTGATGGTCCACTAGGATCGGATCCTAATGGAATTTCGACCTGGGAGCACTTTAAACCAATTAAAAAGCATTTTATTTGTTACATAATGCAATTATTATTATTATCATAACCTATTTTACATTCAGAATCTTGCTAATGCACTGGCCCCGCACTGGGAAAACACTGAGTCCACCTACCTGGGCGCCAGCAAGCACGTCTTCCGCAACGTGCGCAACGAGAGGGAGGACATCTACCACTACTACTACCGCATCCGACGCAACTTTGAGGCTTACCTGCGCCGGCCGGACAGCAAGCAGGAGTTCATGAACATGTGGCAGCAGGAGTATAACCTGATCGCAGAGGACATGAGGGATGACGACGAGACCAAAGCTGAACTGCATCAGAGGGTCCAGGTAGGGTGATCTTGTATATTTGCATCTTGTTACCTGGGACCCGTTTCACAAAGCCTTCTTTCAATGACAAATTACAAAAATCTGTGACAAATCTGCTGATAACCAATCAGAAGCAAGGATTTCAGTAGCTAATAACAAAAACTGTCAATTTTGTCACTGAGAACAAGTTTTGTGAAACGTGGCCTTGTTGTTTTACTTTCTTTGCTTAAAAAGGGGGGATCCCTGCCTACAAGCTAATAATGCTTCTTTGGTGGTAGGGGTATTCCGCCCACTTTTATTTTTTTATTTTTTATTAAAACGTTACCGTAAATTCATGTTTTTTTCATGCAAAATATATAATTGGAATGTTACTCGTTTGTAATAAAAGGTTGACCAATTTAATGCAATGTAATGAAATTAAAATGAAATACTTTGTGTTCATCACACACTTCAAGAAATAGTAATAAGATTTCAAAGATTTCTTTCAAGGACTGTTCATGATCAGTCAGAGATCAGGCAAAGTAAACATTAGTTTATCATCATCATATCTATGTCGTTATATATTTGATTTGATGAATGGAAAACAGCATTTTTATGTCCAGTCAGGCTGTTTTTAGTATATGCAATAATAAGTGAGCTAGAGAGAACATAACAAGAATACTTTGCTGGAACTGAAGCAGCTAGCTATTTGGAAAATATTGTATTATCAGTAGAGTTTGAAAGACTTTTCTTGACCGAGAATTAACACTAATGAAAAGGAAATATCAGTCCCATATCTTGATATTTGTGTAATGTTCTTCGAACAGGACCTTAAGGAGCAGCTGTGGGAGATGTCCGATGAGAGGAAGCTGGAGGCAGAGGCTGAACGTCAGTCCGTCATCAACGAGGGTTGGTTAGAAGACCGACTGGGTCTCCTCACCAATCACTATCTTACTCTTCTGCAGGTCAGTAGTAGAAAAGGGTTGAACATGTGTGCTTAACCTGTTGGCTGCTGAATTCTCTCATTCCCATTGACTTAACACAAGAGCCAACCAGTTACAGGAGGCAATGGGTTTACTTTAAAAGGACTAGCTGAGGGCCATAATGGGCCATATATAATGCCACCTTTGGTAATTTATGATTACTTGGGGCGATGGGGTTAAAGTGTACTGTGCATTTTTGTGACCTTTTTCTTTCCAGGTCACAAAAATTGTATGTATAGCCCCAAAACAGAGAAATCAGTAAACTTGTTTTGAAAATGGATAGAAATAGTTATCATACACTGTATCTCAATTTATTTATTTCTTTAATTTTAGAAGTGCATGTAAGGTTGTACTCCTCTTGAACATCAATTTATTATGACCGCAACCATTCTGTAGTACTGGTCAAGAAGGACTTTTTTATCTCCTGTTTTGATACAATGTCAATTTTAAATGGACTGATTCCAAATATGCTTATTAAATATGCTTATTTCACCCCTCACTACTTGATCATTTTACCCCCCCCCCTCTCTTTGATCACAGTGTGAGGTTGATCGCTACCAAGACACCCTGCGTCTCCTCAAGGACTACTACCAGGGCATGGAGGGCAAGATACCGGAAGAGCTGGACCCCAACTACGCCCGTATCCCTCTCATCGACCTCCCTCCCATGGAGCGACCCGATTCGGGCATCCCTCCCGCCGAGAGCGCTGTACCCAGTGAGAGCCACACCCAAGTGGTCACGCCCACCCCGACCACCCCATCGGCCAAGGGCAAGAAGGGCAAGGGGGAGGTGGTGGAGGAGATTAAGGATGTGGATGATGAGCTCAAACCAAAGTAAGTCCATCACAGATTTTATTTAGTCTACCACTAAGAATAGCACATGTTGGTTAATGTAAAGATGCTTTTACAGTTAGCCGTATTTGCTTTTGTTGAGCTACATGTAACAACAAGTTATGAATTAATGTGGATTTTTGGAAGGTTTGTGATATTGAGGAAACCCTTATTATGAAATGTATCTTTATAATCTATATTACTTTCAAGTTACATGGCTTATCCATAAATCTAAAGTATGCCATACTTACTTTATGAAATAAATGTTATCATCGCTATATCTTTAAATTCTAATTTGAGACAAGTGTATCATTTGATTCATTCAACCTCTCGTCAACTTTTACATGAATATTTTTCAGATTCAAGATTCGCAAATGTACCTTGGAACACTGCAATATAATGTGGAGAAATAATCTATTATATTTATTCAGTACACTACAGTATATTTTAATGTACACACAATGAAAAGTTTCAGTTGCAAACATTAAAATGGTCTGCAGGTTTGAAATGAATAGGTCTTCCTTTGGGTAAAATTGCAAAAAAATGACAGATCGATACTTATCTGTCCTGAACCTCATATGAGGTTTTGACTATTAACTGAAATGCTAATATAGGCGGTGTCAGAAGTGGTAGATAAGCATTATGACATCACACAGTCAATCAAAAGTAATGTGCAATTAACACTTCTCATTAAAAGCACGCTAATATAACTGTGCGAAGGTTATAATAGCATGTTAGAAACCATATGCCTGCCAATCATTAAGTTAAAAATTGACCTTACACTGACCTTTAACAGGATTCAACATTGGTGACAGACAGAAAATCCCGCCAAAAATCTTGTGAAAAATCCTATCAAGGGAGAATTTTTCACAGGATTATCGATAACAGACAGCCAGCCAATTATCTAGATAGCTACTTTCTAGATAATTGGCCTCTTGTTTGACACCGCCTAATATCTGTTTCTCTTCCTCTTGTAAAGGATCCCGTTGGTCCCCCGACGCCCCGGCTCATCGGAAGGCTTCTTCCCCATCCCCACTCCAGGGGCTGATAAGAGGGAAGCCAAGGGAACCAAGAGCAGGGCGGGTAAGGGCAAGGAGAAGGAGAAAGCTGCAGCGCCCTCTACCAGTGCCGATGAGGAGAAGGATACTCCTCAGCCACCGGCAGATCCAGATGAAAGAGTGAGTCATACATTGATTAAGCAAAATGTATTTTTGAGGGCAAAAACTTCAACATTTTTAAAATTGTTGATCTCAAATCACATTGGCTGTCATGTGAGTATTTTTTTACGGCATAGGTATATTTAGATATTCTCCTAAGAGAAAACAGAAATTTATTATTATTTTTAGTACACATCAAGTTGGAGAGGAGGTTACATTCTAATTCACAAAGTCGCCAATTTGCATTCGATCAACTGCAAATTTCAAACAGATTTCATAGTTTTTGTATCCTTTATCAGATTTTCCCTTGAAGTTCTGTTTGTCTCATTTTCATAGTTTTATTAAAGCAAGCTTTGTCTTGATGCCTCATTTCTCGGCAGAACTTGAAAAATTCACATATTCCTAATGTAGTCAAGTCAATTTGTAAATGACATGATAAGTATGAAAGAAATGCAATCAGCTGGTTTCCAGCATTTCTGCATTTCAATTTTGGAAGCAAAGTCTGAATGTTAATTGCCCTTTAAATAAATGTATATTTTGTATTTTTTTAATCATTTCCACAGCTCATCTTTGAAGCATACCAGTTTGGACTGCACAAGATATCAGAGATCGTAAGAAAAATGTTTGATTTGGCTTTAAATTATTAATCACCAAGCCCAAGAATGATTGGTTTCAAGCCCGTAAGAAATGCATGTGAAATGAAAATGAACCTTTCATGAAATAGCTTGGACTGCTATTCTACCAAGATATATGCATGAACCAACTTACAACAGGCTTGTTTTGAGCATGAACAGGCTTGAAATAAACAATTTTTTGTATTAATAACAAGATGCAGTATCTAGGAATATAATTAAACAAGCGCATAGCTGCCAACCATTCCTATTTTGGATGAATAGTTCCTATTTTTTTTGGGGGGGGGGGGAGGGGCTTCAGAACACTAGATTCCTCTATTTTTCGAAAATATATTTTTGTCAAAAGTATACAAAATAGATGTATTCCTAATTTTGCCTTGAGAGATTCCTAATTCTTGCTGTGAAAGGTTGGCAGGTATGAAGCTTGCGTTTGGCTTGAAAAATATTTGTTCTCTATGATATAATATAAATTCTTGGCCATTAGAAGACTGGCTTTTTCAAGTAGGGGCGGGGGGTGCAAGACTTGAAATAGCCTCGCCTTCATCGAGGCATGCTCAACTTAGTTTTTTTTTAAAGGCTAGAAATACTTTTCAGTAGCAGTTAAGCTCAAGAGTCCTTGCACATTTAGTAAATAGACAAAATTACTTTGATAAGGAAGCTCTAGTTGTTCAATTTGTTTTCATTATCATATGTGATTTTCACTTCACATTAATAGATAGATAAAAAAATGAGGGATGAAAGTAAGAAAACTACATGTTTAAAACTGAATAGGATAGTAGTAACTTATGCATATTATATATAATACATAGATGAATAATGTACAATTATGCACTATGAGGCTTTTATGTTAATATGTACTGAAGTAGTAATATGATATGATGGGAAGAAGAAGAAGATGAAAATCATCAGTTTGCATTTCATAGCAAGAACATGTATTTCAATCTAGTTGTTTCTTTATCTGTGAACATTTAAAGGATTATCATATAGAGTTTGAAATCCCCCCAAAGGGCATGGTGAGTAGATTTTATTGTACCAAATCCCGAGTATTATGTTCACAATTTGGAATTTATAGCCCGTTTCTTTTTGGTTCCTTTATTATTTGCATACACTTTGATGTGTTTTTATACACATGTGTACTTTATGCAATTGTTATGTTTCATTAGACTTTGTTACTCGACGTACAAATTATTTTTGTACTTCTTTCAAACTCTGTATTAATGTTGCATCCAATTTTGACCTGTTTGCATTGGTTCATATTCTTTGGTTGTTTTTCAAGCAAGATTTGTTCACATATGGAGTGATATATGGTACTCAAATTGGCAATGATATTGATTTTAAAAACCCAAAGAGACCATGCAAAATAATTTGGTATCCGTGCCTCAATCTGCAATATTCTGCTTTATATACAAGCATGATCCCAGATTTACTCAACTTTATCAAATTATCCAAAGATATTCTCTAAATGTATATGCACAGCAGATTTTAACTGACGTTGATTAAGTCAATAAATCCATCTGCTATTGTCCAAACAAGAGTGATACAATTATTGGAATTAAATGCCTGCAAATATGTTGGGTCCAATTCAATTGTTTTTAAACAATGAGGTGACTGTCATGATATCTGCCTAAATTATGAGTACCATATTATCTGAATCACAAGACACATGAAAGAAATGAAAGAAATGTTTTCAAATTCCCTAGTTTAAAGCCATACTGTACTCGGAGCACTCCTGCAAAATCCCCTCTAGCGCCATCTCAGGTCAGCTTGTAGCAGTATGGTCCCGTAACTCGCTGCTTACTAAGCTGCGCTGTTGCGGGTTTATGCATCAAGTCCTCTGTCTGCAAAGTGGAGGTTAATAGGCATTGGGTTTAATACGCACCGTTGGCAAGTTGACCATGAGATGGCGCTGTGCACTGGGCAGAAAGTTCAGTATCACTTTAAACGTGCATTGCCTGGTATTGATGATTTGATTGTATTTTGAATGCATGCATTCCATACTTTACAGTGGGATAACTATAAGGTTGGAATCCTGGTAAGTCAAATTGACGTCATTGAGTGAGCCCCTGACGTTGTCTAGTTTGAGTCAGCGCAGGCAGGCACCATAGTTTGCAATTTAACAATAGAGTGTTGATTTTTCACTAACACGCTTTTTATTCAAATGCACATGCACAGTAAAAGCAATAGTAAATGTTAATTTGATTTGATTTGATTTTTATTTTTACAGTAGATTTCATTAATGCAACACAAGGAAAATTTGATTTTCTATGAAATCTTAATACAAAACTTCAGGGTTTTGACAAAATTTGTTCATATCTTGGGAAAAATTTGTATTCAGTGACATGTAGTTTTATTTAAATCATGTTTTTGAATGCCAGATTGTTATCGATTAACTTTTTAAAATTTGTTTTGATTTTGGTTTAATTTAACTCATTTACTTATTTTATTGTTGATTGCAAGTGCTTATATTTGTGTATGAATTCCATGGAGTAGAGTTTCTTTTCACCAAGTTTAATAGGTTAAAATCTCTTGGGGCATCAAAACATGACTTATGTTCACAATTTTACAAGTACTAATGCTCATTTAGAAAATGCTGCTGCTAAATTTATCTAATTCTTTATTGCAAAGCACATTACCTCACACAACACAATCACATATAAACATAAAAGAGAAGAAAGGAAATTTACAGAGAAAAAGAGAAAAAAAGAAGGGGGCACTCATAAGCTGGCAAAAATGCAGTTGGGTAAGAAAGGAAATGCAAAGTGCATATCGTAAATAGTAAAAACAAATCATCTTCAATCTCAGCTTAAGCAACTAGATGAAATGCACATTTGGGTTATATTATTTTGGCTTTCATTAATTGTTTGACTATATACCTGGGAAATATGGGTGCATTCCATTGTGTGTGATAACCCATTTTATTGCTATTAAAAATTCATTTTATAGGGTTGTCTTGGTTTTTGTTTTCAAATAAGCCTTTGTTTCAGCTAGAATCAAAACATTTCACCAAAAAGATGAAGAAAAAAATCAAATGTTTGTTGTGATTTTTGAACGTAGCTTTTGATATTACCATTTTTTTATTTTTGCATTTATTTTATGTCTTGAGTTATTGAGTTTTATTTATTTGTAAAACATGCACAAGAACACTCCCCATGAATCCTTTTTGTGTTTAGAAATATCCTGTATTTGCCATTGGAGTTGATGTACTAGCAGCAAATTAACAATCGTATGAAAGCATTACAATACATGTACATACTGTAGCACTCTATATCTTTCCATTGGAGTATAATAAACAGAGAAACCAAATAGAATCGGCACAGAGACTAATGTTAAAATAAGCACATACCATGTACAAATTTCAATTTTTATTTACATATTTATCAATACACCAATTAATTAATGTTAGTTTGTCTTATTTACAGAAACTATACATTGTGTTTTAATTCTCACACTTTGTTTACTTCAATATACACATAACTGTACCATATACACCATGGCTCATACTTGGTTGTTAGAAGGTTATACAAACTGTTAATACCGGGAAAGTTTGTTATTAATACTGCATTATTTGCGTCCCCTTATTTGTTGCAGATACGTGTAGACCAATTTATTTTTAAAAGATATAATTTCAGTCTCAAGATATAATTCATAGTAAGGCCTTGGTAAAATGCATAGTCATCAAATAAGTTGATCAAGGGAAAAATCCTAAGATTTTATACAGAAAATTGGCGTATTAAGAAATATAATGATTGTCCTATCCTATATGTGACTGTATACACTATTTATTGTCATAATTTTTGTTTTATTACCCCCCTCTCTCTCTCTTTCTCTCATTTTGTCCACCTTCTTTCTCTCTCTCTCTTGTCTGTCTTGTTTCTCTCTTTCTCTTTTGGTTTCTATCTCACCCATTTCATTGCTCTCACTCTCTCTCTCTCTCTTTTGTACTCTGTATTTTTCTGTATTATCTTCCTCTCCCCTCTCCTTTTTTTCTTCTTCTTTTTTTACCAATTTCTACTTCTTTAATCTTTTTCCACCTCTTTTACTCTTCTCTTTTTTGCCCCTTTTACTCTTGACACATATATATAATTTCCTACTATTCATTCCTCAATCCTTTACCCTTCTCATCTCCGCTTATTGTCTTTCTCTTCCATCCTTGCCAACCCCTCCTTTCATCCTTCCTTCTATCCATCTATCTATCCTTCCTTCCTTCCTTCAGACGGTTGCTGAGATGGCAGCCAAGGATGCGGAGGAGGAGGCTGACAAGGCCCGAGACGCGGAGAAGGCGGAGAAGGGCGATAAGAAGGGCAAGGGCAAGGATAAAGACAAGGGAGCCAAGAGGGCCAAGAGCAAATCACCCACTGGTGAGTGTCGCGTTCATTAATCGGACAAACAAGTATAGCATTCATTGATTCATTCGTTTTGTTCAGTTTATTGAAAGAAAATTCATTGTAAAAACAGTCCAAAGATTGATACGTAGATTACATACCGGTAGTTGCATTACCGGTATTCAAAATGATATACTGTTAACAACTAAATTATTCATACCCTTACCAAGTTTCGTAACCGTAAAGTTAAGTATGTTGTCAACAATTTATTTGTGCCGATTTATGTTTCTTAAAAATGTGAAATATTAAAGATTTTATCTAACAATATTCAACAAATGCCCTAATTCAACCAATCCACCTTTCATTTTTGAGTTACGAAAAACAACAAAAAACATCAAATTTAGAAGGGGTATGAATAGTTCAGCTGTTAACTGTATATATATATATATATATATATAATTTATATTATTCAGGTTATATTCCTTGGTTTGAACAAACAGTACTAATATACCAATAGTTTGATCTTCTTTACCCAGGGTAGCCTCATCACTATCGATACTGTCCTTCCCATTGGCCATGCTATCCTTTTTTTTATAAACCTGACTTTTGTTTTAAATATCTCTACTTTAGAGTTTAGATTATCTCTGTATTTCTAATAAAGCTATAAAATTCTGGACTTTAAATGCTCTCTACTTCTTGTATGTAGTAATAAAAGCAAACAAAATTATCCAGAGCAGATCAATGCATACATGTATTCTGTGACTTCCTGCAATCAATAAATGACATTTAATATTACTTTATTTACTAGCAAATATATATATATATCCACATTAAATTGTCCATTTCATTTGAAGTATTTGGAAACTTATGTTTCCATTTTGTTTTTGTTGTGCATGTACAGGCAAGAAAACTCCAGGGGGTAAGAAGTCGCCCAAGAAGGGTAAGAAGACCGCCACGCCCACTCCCCCTCCCACCCCTCCACCGGTGGAAGACACCCCTGAGGAGAAGGTCAAGAGAGAGCTCAAGGAACGGATGAAGGCAGAGTACCTGGGAGCCATTGCGCTTGAAGGTCAGTACAAGGACAGAGAATGTTGAAGGTCACGCACAAAGTCAAAGCGTCTTCATTTATCAAATCCTCATCTTAAAAAAATGTGATGTTTTGCGCTCCCATTTACACTTGTGCTGAAACATCACCGACTGAAAAGCTCAGTGATGTTTTGACGTGTTTTGGTTGGTAATGCGCATGTGCGGTATTCCCGATGCATAATGCCCTTTCGATCAGCTGTTTTTCCGCTGTGGCTGCAGCAGTATAGTGAACTCGATAAGGCTTCAAGGACGAAAGCTAGCCCCACTCCTAGAGTCACGTGACAAACATCGCGATGTTTCAGCTGTGAGCGTTTATACTTGCAAAACTCGCCAAAACAATCACACTTCAGTTTGGAATGTTTCGGCCATGGCATTTTTGCTGGTAAAGCGTAGTTGCCTTGGAAACATCGCGGTTAGGCTCCGGGCGTGTTTCTATGCAAGTGTGGATGGCCCTAGTGTAGGAGTTGACCCCCTCCTATGCTATGGTTGTTAATGTCTGCTCAAGAGTTTGGGTAGTGAACAACACGTTTATATCTAAGGTAGATATCCTATACCATATTAATCATAGTCAAAACTTCACTCTTGAAAGATAATTGAAAATTGTCTAAAAACATGGTGGTCCTAAAGAGATTAAAAGTCATACATGTAAGTCCAGTAGAGTGAGCCTGCTTTCATTTTTTGTCATAATACTACCAGTACTCTGCCAGGAGTGTAAAATGAAAAGCTGAACTGAACTCAATTTGAGAAAATGACCGGTGTAAGATATCTGCATAAATCCACTAAATCCAATTATTATGATCATTATTATTATTATTATTGGTATTACTGTTGTTATTATGTTGCTTTGTTATCATTATTATGATTTATTTTACTGTAATTATTATTATTGTTGTTTTGGGGTCTTTTTTTTTTGTTATTACTCGTATTGCTCGTTTTACCAGTATTATCATTATTATTATTACTGGGACCTGTTTCACAAAGCCACTTTTCATTGACAAATGACAAAAGTCAGTGATAAATCTGCTGATAACCAATCAGAAGCAAGGATTTCAGTAGCTTATAACAAAACTGTCATTTGTCACTGATGACAATTTTTTTTAAACAGACCCCTGGTGAGCTTAAACATTTGTTTCTGGAGATGCCTATTATAGAGCTTTGTCACTTATTGCGGAATTGTCCTTCATTGCCACGATGGATGCATAGGATTATTACTTTCCCTGATTTTTTTTATTCTTTCAGAATCGAGCTTGAAGACGAGGATGGAGTTGATTAAGATACATGCCATCGAGGTTCTACAGGAGCTGAAGGCCAGGGCCGAGGAGGCATACAAGGACATGGATAATTGGCTGGGATTGAGGTTTATCCAGGAGATGGACAGGTACTGACCAATCATAATCGAGCTTGCATAGCAAGAAAATGAAATTACTCCATAAATTGAATTTTAATTGCTTCACCAGCAAAAAGGTTGTTTTACCTGTGAGACTTTCGCCTACTCGTTGCTGCAGGCATCATCAGACTGACGTTTTATCGCCGCTAGATGGTCGTACCACCCCATCTAGCGACAATGGAAAAATAAAAATTCAATCGATGGAATTACTACCAATCAGATGAACCTCTTAAGGAATGAAATTACTATTGTGTCACTAATTGAACTGGTGAAGGTAGTATCTTTGATTTGAAACTATGACATCAAATCATTGACAACTATTAAAGTGGAGACAGTCCCCAAAGCGTGTAAAAATTGAACAGATCCATAGCTCTATGCTTTAATGAAGAACCCGAGAAAAACACAGAGATGTGGTTTGGTCTAGCGGTACGTTCACTTGGTCAGCTCTCTATATTCCCCTGCAACTAGCTCAGACAAACCCCGGTTCAAAACTGAGTCGCGTCTTTTGGATGGTGACGTTAAAGGTCGGTCCCCAGACGTAAATAATCATATCTGTTGATACACATCTGTACAAAAAACCTAAGAACAATACCTAATAGTTCTGTTTGCTTTTCTTGTCTTGATTTGATTGTAGTATCAACATTGTATGTCAGTATCTTGGAGAGTGTATCGAGAAGAAAGCCAAGATTCAACCGGAGCTAGTCGTCTTCCAGGATGACTTTGCAATCAACAAGGTATGGAAGTCAGACTAGTCCTGGGCCTCATCTTACAAAGAGTTGTGATTGATCCAAATTAATCGCAAGTCCTCTAGTCAATCGCAAGTTTGCAGTCTCCTATTTCTCATGTACCTAGTTGCAGTTGATCGTAAATAAGTTGCGTTTGATATCAACTCTTTGTAAGACAGGGTCCTACCGTATTTGCCGGCGTAACGGCCTCAGTATTTTTGGAAGAGAAAATATTAAAAAGTTGGGTGTGGCCTTTGCGGCGAAAGAGTAAAAAAAAAAAGAAAAAGAAAGTAAAAACCAGCACAAATTCGCACATATGGGACTACGAACGGTACAATAACTATACAACTATGGTACAGCACATTTCCACACATCTTACCGACAATTTTATCTTGCATTGTTGACATGAAGATGAAAATAAACTTCCAAAACAACATCTGCCGATAGATCTTGATCTAAGTTCGTGCCAATTAATGCATTGCAAAAGTAAAAGAAGGGCCCGTTTAACGGAGCTGCCGCGAAGCATCCAGCACGCGAAGTCGCCATTTTGAATCCATTTCAATATATACACAAGAGAAAACTGCAAGGGATAGCATCAGGGACGGGATGGCCGAGCGGTCTAAGGCGGTGATTTGGGTCATATCAACATTTGTAGGGGAGGGTTTATATCCCACCTCCGACATTTTTTTTTTTTTTTTTTTAATGTCAAAATCGGGTGTGCGGCCTATGGGGCGCTGCGGCCTTATCGCCGGCAAATACTGAATCTATGTTGATCTTCATTGTTTGGGAACTGTCCTTTCATGTTTCAAATAATATTTTCTTTGTTTGTAAAGTTATTGGCTCTATGATTTTAGAATTCTTAATTTTCCAATCTATGTTTATTCTCTTCTTTTTCTTCTTCTTCTTCTAGTTTTTCTTGTTGTTGTTGTTCTTTCTCTTTTTCTTGTCATCATTTTCTTCTTCTTCTTATTTTTTCTTTTTCTTGTTTATCTTCTTCATCTTCTTCTACTTATTCTTATTGTTGTAATTCTTATTCCTTTTCCTCTCCAAACTAATGCACGGAAGATATATCCCTACCTAAAACCTTTGATGAACTACTCACAATGCTGGATTATGTTTGTTTTATTGGTTGTGTTTAGGCCCATAACTCTGATAATTGCATCAATCATTATTGATGTTAAGATTTGATCTTTCTCCCCCCATCCTTTTGAATTTAAACGTATTTCAAATTAAAATGTAGACAATGCAAAGTCAGATCATGTAAAAAAAAAAAAAAAAATCATGACAAAAAAAAATTGTCTGAAAGAATATAAACAATAAAAAGGAAATAAGACAGGAGGAAAGTAAAGCTTTATAAGAAAAATTCCAGCCTTCTTAATATTCCTTCTTTTGATTACCTTAATTACTGGACAATGGAGTAACCCCTCTTTCTCCTCCCCTTCTTGCAGCTGGTGAAGGTGTATCGTACCCCTAGCCCTCCCCCTCGCCCTTACCCGATAGAGCTAGCTCAGATGGATACATTCACTGTGGAGCAGATCATCAACCTACAGACCCAGTTCATCAAGTCAGCCCCCTCTGGGTTCATATCCGCAAAGGGCTTCATCGACACTCTCTGTGACATGACTGCGTTGACTGTAAGCATGTACAGAGAATGCGAAGATTTGGGCTGTGTCTCGATAAAAAAAGAGTTGTCATTGATCAGAAAATTATCAGTCCCAAATTCCTAACATAAGACATCAGTTATTTCACTCTGGATCTGAACAGATGAGCTGATAATGATGATAATGATGATGATGCTGATCATGATCATGATCATGATGATGATAATGATGATGATGGTGATAATGATGACAGTGATAATGATGATAGTGATGATGATGGTGATAATGATGATAGTGATGATGATGGTGATGATGATGATAGTGATGATGATGGTGATAATGTTGATAGTGATGATGATGGTGATAATGATGATGATGGTGATAATGATGATAGTGATGATGATGATGCTGATGATGATGATGATAATGATGATGGTGATAATGATGATAGTGATGATGATGGTGATAGTGATGATGATGGTGATAATGATGATAGTGATGATGATGGTGATAATGATGATGATGGTGATAATGATGATAGTGATGATGGTGATAATGATGATGGTGATGATGATGACAATGACGATAATGATGAGGATGATGATGGTGGTGACGACGATGATGGTGATGGTGATGATGATGATGATAGTGATGATGATGGTGATAATGATGATGATGGTGATAATGATGATAGTGATGATGATGGTGATAATGATGATAGTGATGATGATGATAATGATGATGGTGATAATGATGATAGTGATGATGATGGTGATAATGATGATGATGGTGATGATGGTGATAATGATGATAGTGATGATGATGGTGATAATGATGATGATGGTGATAATGATGATAGTGATGATGGTGATAATGATGATGGTGATGATGATGACAATGACGATAATGATGAGGATGATGATGGTGGTGACGACGATGATGGTGATGGTGATGATGATGATGATAGTGATGATGATGGTGATAATGATGATGATGGTGATAATGATGATAGTGATGATGATGGTGATAATGATGATAGTGATGATGATGGTGATGATGATGGTGATGATAGTGATGATGATGGTGATGGTGATAATGATGATGATGGTGATAATGATGATAGTGATGATGATGATGCTGATGATGATGATGATAATGATGATGATGATAATGATGATGATGATGATGGTGATGATGATGGTGATGATGATGATGGTGATGATGATGGTGATGACGACGACGATAATGATGAGGATGATGATGATGATGATGATGATGGTGGTGACGACGATGATGGTGATGATGATGATGATGCTGATAGTGATGATGAAGATATTGATAATGAAATTGATAACGATTGCGTGTACTTTGATGGTCTCCCTTGTGATATTAAAATCATCTCAATATATATATATATATACATCCATTATTCAGGTATTGCAACAACAAAACCTAAAGCGATGATAAAAGGAAGAAATTTGGTACATTTTGTACATTGTATGATTTACCCATTACTACACCTGGGTCAAGAGAGACAGCATCAATGCTACATGTTTTAGACACCATTCCACTTCTGATAGGGGTCTTACCAAACCTACCACAGTGTTGTATTTTCTTTTTGCTGTGCACATATGTCATGATGATTTGAAGTTTATGTTTTCAATACCTGATAATTTTACATGATTCATATTGATTTCTTGCAGCATGGGATGGAAGCTTTGCCTGATGGATGGATGAATATCAGCATTGCTCAGGTAAATATCTACAGTATTCATTACTTTATCAACTTCTCAAATCTTTAGTGGTCTTTGATATAAGCTTTGTGGAAGTGGTCCCAAGGATATGTCACCAGAGTTTTCTTTTCGGTCTTATGTATTAAAAGATTCACCAGTTAGCCATGTGGTTTCCAACACGCTTTGTCAAGATTTTGTACACCTGTTGTATTGTCAAGTTTGCTGATTGGAGCCCACGATGTAGGTGAGGAGATGAGGACAAGACCAGGGACCTGTTTCACAAAGCCTGTTTTCAATGACAAAAACCAGTGTCATATCTGCTGATAACCAATCAGAAACAAGGATTACACTAGCTTATAACAAAAACTGTCATTTTTCACTGATGACAAGTTTTGTGAAATGGCGCCCCGATGGATTAAATAGTGTGGCCTGAAAGTACAATCAAACATCCTTTACATTCCATCAACATTAGGCACCATGGGCCGCTCTCTGTTTTTTTTTTCATCGTCACTTCATGTTGGCCTGTCCAACCATTGCACTATCAAGATTTTGGGAGATAGTTCATTGAAGGATGTGCTATATTTTAAAGTTGTCTAGATAGTACTAAATTTGATTTTCTGTATGAGGAGTCTACACTGTCAATCTATATTTTCAAGCACCTTGATCCTTGATAGATTCCTACCAGAAAATGCCATAATGCTGTTATAACGTACACATAAGCTTGTATTTTGGTGTTGTTTCTCTAGCTTCCGAGATCCTAGCTGCTCATGCAGCTGTCTCCTGACTCTGAGTACATCAATTGGAAGACCTTCCTGCTCCAGTCGTGCCCTCCCTGGAGCCAGCCTTCCCAGGCTCAGCTCCTGGACACCTCAATTATAATAATGACATAACCTTTTATTCTATCTTTTTTCTCTAGCTGGAGACCCTAGCAGCTCAGCTGTCTCCTGACTCTGAGTACATCGATTGGAAGACCTTCCTGCTCCAGTCATGCCATCCCTGGTGCCAGCCTTCCCAAGCTCAGCTCCTTGACACCCTGGAGGAGTTCAAGAAGGCTGATGTCCTCAACACCGGCACTGTCACTAGGGAACAGTTTGAACAGGTGAGTGAGGGTCAACTCTGAGGTATGCTCCGGCATCATTTACACCTAGGCTTTATTTTGTTTTTAAACATATTTGTGGCTTACACCCAATTAATAAGATTGATCGATCGATCTGTAATTGAAAAACAAGTAAGAAAAAAAACAGCGAGATTTGAACCTGCCATTTATTGCTTGCCGGGCAGCAACTGTACCACTAGGCCATCACTGGTCCATGGCACAGTCATGATGAACTAGAAACAAATACCCAAGCTCTCCTGATTCATTCTGACTCATTAATATTCATTAGCCTGCCATAAGACAATAACTTTTTATGCATGTTAAGCATGTTGGATAAGGATTAACATTAGGATTAGGGTTGCAATTACATGTAGGTTAAAGGTTAGGTTTGGATTTGGGTTAGGATTAGGTAAAGTGTTGGATCCAGGATCGAAGATAGAAATTCAGTTGGTGTAGGAAATTTACCGTGGAGGAAATAGTCCAGGACCATGTATTGTAGAATTAGGTATGTTTATTTATTTCAGTTTATGTGAATGGTTCTCTGTTGTTTTATGGATCAAAGTGTTCGTTGATCTGAGTATATGCATTTCTATCACTTCCCTTCTTATATTTCTTCTTTCCCATGTTTTATCATGAATAGTATGTATGACTCTCATGTTATATTGCATGCTGAGAGTTAGAAGGGCTTTAAGTATATAATTAAAAAAAAAGTGATGTAAGTTCATATGCCCTTCTGCCTTTCATCAAACAACAACAACAATAATAATGATAATTATGATGATGATGATGATGATGATGATGATGATAATGACAATATTGGAAATTTTCATAGCACACATATCTACCACATAAGGTGCTCAAGGTGCTCCAATGTTATCCTGGCTCTGCTAGGCTACATAAATTAATGCTTCATACAGCATGTAGGGAATTCAATCCTACCAGTACATCACCTGGGTGGAGTGTGGGCAAATGTAGATTAATGTCTTTCCAAAGAGCATAATTGCTGCGGCTGGACTCAACAACGTATACTAGACCACTACACCTCTACATATGTAATTGAATATTTTTATTTACAAAATTTGCTCCAATACTCAATCAAATCTCATCAATGTACATCATACTAATCAAAAGCACTCTCACTCCTCCATATCTAGGTGCCCTTATGGTACAGTAACGACCAGCGGGTGCCGTCCCCAGAGGACCCCACGGAACCAAGCCCTTACAACCGCACCCTGCACATCCAACGTCTCTTCTTTGATATCTTCGCCGATACTGCGGCCATTCCTCCCCTCTTGGATTACACCAATATGGTAAGCATGCAATGAACAAAGTTGATAAATAAGGGCGTTGGAGAGCAATGGAGAGTAGTTTAGCTCTCAAAGACTCTCAAAACAAATTGGTAAATCTCAAAAAGAGCTATGATAAAAACAGAAGAGTACATTATAGTTGCTGTAAGGATATCTCGTTTTTTATACAACTTATTCAAGGAGCTCCTGTAAATAAAAAAGGTATTTGTTTCACTGACACAATTGTATGAATTAGGAGAACTCTTTGATATTTTTTCCTTTTAGGATAATACCCATAGACAGATATTGATGTTCTTGTAATCATACCATTCTTTTATTATCTATTATGATATGTTTGACTTTTGGTTGTGTGATTTCTTTGGAACGTGTTGTAGTATAGAATTAAATAGAATTTTGTAAGTAGCTATTTTCATCCTAAAAATGCTGGGTTATTTTGATGGTCTCATAGATGTGAGGGAGCAGCTATTCTTCACTAGGATCATGTCTGTTGAGTGAAGAAAACTTTTGAAACTTGGCACAAAGATTGAGTAATCTTATCATGATAAAAACCATGGATTTGGAATTATTGTTTACTAGGGTGGTATCAGAGCTTTGGCAATGTACAAGGATTTTATCAGATTACTGTAAGTATGAAATGGATTGTAGCAGTGGTACCCATTTACTACACTGTAGTCGAGAGTAGCAAATGTAGGTTAATATCTTACCAAAGGACATATTTGTCACACTGGGGCTTGAACCCTCAACCTTCACGTTTCCAGTCAAGTGTTCACCCATTGCTGCAGTGTACATGTACAGTCAAACCTGTCTATAGCGATCTTTCAAGGGAAACACAAAATGTGGTCCTCGTAGACAGATGTCCTTTGTAGACTGGTGGTCACTAAAGCAGGTTTGACTGTATACAAATCTACTCACTAATTAGATTTATAAAAAAAATGTTCTCATCTTGTTCCTCTTCTTATTCAGCTGCTGTATTTCAGCGTCGATGCAAACTACTTGAATGGTTTCTTCCGGGCGCTCAGCGTGGCTTCCGCCAATCACATGCCCCGCCCCAAACCCGCAGAGGTGGAAACTAGCAAGAGAGATGTAGAGACCATGAAAGAGGTATGACTTACATATGGCCAAATGTTATCATAATGTGAATGTAATTTGCCTAATTTCATAGTATTTATGGTTTGTGCGGGGTAGTTTAACTTTCATTTGATTTAGTCAAGTGCAGATCGGTTCAGATGAATCCAACCCTTATTTTCCCAAATTTCATTTAAAAAAATTAACATTATAATTTCTTATGAACTTATGAATATGAAATTAAAGTTTCGGATTGATTTGTTTGAAAAAACAAAATAATGAATAGGTATCACAGATGTGGTATTGAATGCTGGAAGAGGCATCAAGACCAACAGGAAGAATTGCGATTATATTTTAATTGATTACTGAACTAATTCATTACTAATCACGGCATAACAAAAAGCTGTTCTGTTTGATAGCAGTGTTGTAACTCTGTAAAACTTTTCATATGTTTTTATTAAATAATTTTTTTTTTGACCATCTTGTACATTTAAATTGTTCATGGGAAGATTAGACAAGGGGGAAAAAATAGGATTGGGGATAGAGAAGGGGAGAGAATAGGGACTTAAAATGAGAGAAAGATAAATAATGAGGTGTACAAGATAAAAGATGAGTAGCAAAACATAACATTTTTAAAAATATGTATGAACAAAGGTAAATATTTTTCTGTATTCTTGTACGAAGCCAGATTTTGAGATTGGCCAAACAAAGAGTCTGATTATCTTATGCTTTTCTTTCCCAAATAGAGTCAACTGTCATTTGAAAATCAGGATGGAAATAAGGTATAATTCGCATGGGTATAATTCGCATGGGTATAGTTCGCATGGGTATAATTCGCATGGGTATAATTCGCATGGGTTGCATGTTCTTATCTGCTCTCACATGTATCCATCCATTCACTCTCCATTGCATTCATACATACACCTTGGTGGTGGAATCTGGTTCATTTTGCATATCTTTGTTTTTGTATCTGTGTGGATTCACCAGTTAGGCAGATTCAAGGGGGCAGGAAGGGGGTGGGGTACAAACAAAACACAGAAACATCAACTATCTGGTGTTCTGTAAATAGACATGCATGCACTCTTAAAAAGGAAACTTACCCCCAAACTTTGTGATACTGTGTATTATGATATTATCACTGCTTATTTAAGAAATTCATAATGATATTCTTTTCTTGTAAAGCACACATCACATGATATGATATTAACCATTTGCACTTTCAAAGAGCTTTGGAAATCTTTTCTCCAGTTTTTGATCCACTAGATAATGTACTGCTGCTATTATCTCTGGACTCATATTGTCACATCATTCAGAGTCTTGTTAATGTCACCCATTCATGTGAAAAATCATTTGGCCGGGTACACATGTGCACATCTATATATTCCTACTGCATAACATATGGGTACACCAGGGCCGTCTTACCGTGAAAGAATCAATATTTATTGCAAACTTGCGATTGATTAGAGGACTTGCGATTGATTTGGATCAACTGCAACTCTTTGTAAGACAGGGTCCAGCTTGGTGAATTCCAACGATATTGCTTTATTTTTTGTATTTTATGTGTCCTCTTTCAGGCTTCTTCTATCGATCTGCATGGTGTCTTTAAGTCTTTATAATTGATCACTATTTTCTCTCCATGCACCCTCTCTATGATTTCATCATCATTTTGCATTTTATATTGTTGTGTTCAAATCCTAAATGAGCATGAATTTAGTAGGACTTGTAGCATGGCATATTACCTCTGATTAAGTCAAGTGCACCTTTTAATTTGTTTTCCTGCTGATTACTCACTCAGTGCCCATATACCGCTCAATTTCATCAAATCAAACTCCATGTACACAGAGATAATGCATGCAGCATACACTATTAATACATAATATGTATCAATTATAGTTTATAAATAGAATTGTCAATATTGTATATCTCATTTTTGAGAAGCAATATGGAAGCTCTAGCAGGATTTCTAGAAATGAAATAAAGAAAATCTTACTATGTGACATTTCTGAATTTTGAAAAAAAATTGTTCAAATATAAGGATTAAGGGTGAAAACAAATCTAGTGTATTCAGCCCTGTTCTGTATTATAAACACATTCTCTGTATATATGGTTATAAACCACATTAAAGGTAATGGGTGGTATTCCGGTAGCGCGTACTAAGTTAGCGCATACTTAGTTAATTCACACTTCTATGGAGTGCCTGTTGCAAACTAATTTACCCTGTACAGATTATTTTAATCCTTCAATGAAGAGTGTTCAAAAATTAATTTTGCGATGAAATGGGAAGAAAAAGATAATATGAGTATGAACTGAATTTCAACAAAGTTTTTGGTAGATTATCTTTGTCATGAATATTGAAGGAGGAAGATGAAACCTAGCATTCCATAGAAGTGTGAACTAAAATTCTTGTTTAGTCTGGACTTAGTCCCGGCTTAACTTAAGAGAATACCACCCAATAAACCTAACATTCTATGGTATGAAATAGTAAATGGTGATATATGTTTTTTTTTTCGGGGGGGGGGGGGATGTTACCATAATACTCACAAGTTATTTTGGTGATGTGACACATCTATGACCTTCGCTCTATTTAGGCTTTTTATCAGAAATATAGGGTAAGGGTTTTGATTGGGTTAGGGATTATATCATGCTTAGGTATACTGTGGTCTCTAAAATTGAAGGTAATTTTTGGTAAATGTTAGAAATTGAATATGGAGTAGTTGTTATGGAAGATTGTGTCATTCAATCAGTTTTGGAAGTGGTACTCATTGGTCAACAATTCCTCAATGACATCACTCCTTCTCTTGTACCCTTGACTAGGTTGTTGAGAACATGACTGGTGAAGACCTGACTCTTGGTCCAAGACACATTGAACCAAGCCTCGGCCCACCTGAAGAAGGGGTACCGGTCTCTGCTGTGAGTGCCACCGTCCCTCTCAGTGCCCTGGTGCAGGTGAGTCATACATGTATGGTAGAAATATAACAATAAAAATGACAAGGTTGTCTCTTCTGACTAATGGGCAGGTGGAATATATCTTGGCATTTGGTTTGACTTCCCAAAACAACTTGTCTCAACAGTCTGGAACCAATGTCCATGGCCATGGCCCGTTGCACAAAACTTACCATTGATGGTAACTTAATTTGCCATCAATTGTAACTACCATGGAAAGCTTGATTTTGATTGGCTGTTGAGCCCTGTTACCATGGCAGTTGCCACTGATGGCAAAGTTACCATCAATGGTAAGTTTAATGCAACAGGCCCAGGACTCTTTGCCGATAAGGTTTTCAATGATATGGAAGGCTACCTAACTATTCACAATCAAAGCAGAATGATGTATGCTAACTTGTATCCTCTAACAATACAAAAGATATGAGGAGCTTAATGATATACAGGAATATATAAGGAAACACACTATAAACATAAAGTAAACATGAACAAAATATTGAATGCATAGATTACTTTATACTAAACTTTAGATCGATCTCCGAAAGAGGCATTCTTTTGTGAGGGGGGAAGGATCCATATTTTTTGTTCAGCTTAGGCGAATCTGAAGTTTAAAATACTAACGCATTTCACATTTTCATTATCCAGGTCCTTCACCATGGCCAGCCATCGCTGGGTGACAGCCATCGCTTCAGCGTGACCTCTGACCCTGAGGATACCTTCGGCCAGGAGCGTCTGGCGGCTGTCTACCGGGAGCTGGGATCGGAGGAGCTGGAGCCGGTGTCGTTCTACACCCTGATCCAGCACCCAATCATCCAGGATTGCCTCTCACTGTGTCACCGATACAAGGCACCGGTAAGTCATGCTAGGCCTGTCTTCGTCAGCCCGAGTTTGCCAAATAACCCCTTATTTCAACTATCCCGATCGCAAATTAACCAGTTCATCTTCGTCTTCATCAGGCTGCAGTTGCAATTAGTTGGATATTTGGTCGAGAAAATATCCAGAGAAATCTTGGTCTTGTTTCCAAAATATCCCGCTATTTGTGAAAAAGCGGGCTAATTTGCACCCGTCCGAGCTAGGTTGTGATGAGCATATTGGTCTGGTGAAGACTCAATTTTGAGCTTCAGGATAATATCCCGAGTCTGGAAATAGCAGGTTATTTGTCAAACTCGAGCTGATGAGGACAGGCCTAAAGAGAAAGAGAGAGGGTCAGAATAGTAGCAGTGGGAAAGAGGTGGTATGAGATTAAAGATAGTGTGACAGGGTGGTATCAGAGCATTGGCACTGTAAAAGGGTTTCATTAGATTATTGTAAATGTAAAATGGATAGTATGAGATTAGTGGCAATGTGATAGGGGTATAGTATCAGTTTGATAGGGGCAGTGTAAAAGGGTTATGTCAGACAAGTGTTAGTTTGTAGAATGAAAGGTATGATGTGAAATAGATCATATGGAGCATAATAAATGGTAATATTTAGTGAGTTTGACTTTGAATATCATTATTTGAGCTTTTGGTATAAATTGTTAGCATACATTCATTTTTATGTATCTTTGCTTAACATCTTGCTGTTATTTCTTGATTTCTTTATAAAGGATTTCAGCAATGTTTTCACCGCCCCTGCCATTCTGCCTACCGACAATGACGCCCATAGCATTATGTCCTAGACCCAACCAGACCAGATGCCTTGAGTCTACTGATGATAGAAGATTTAATTTGGCACAGGTTTGTGACACGCCTTGAAATGTCATTCATTTTTTTTGAGAGTTTAAAACAATTCTGAAAATTGTCATCTGTTGAATTCCAGAAGGGCTTTAACTCTGTGCTCCTGTATACAAGTAAACATCCTTCTGGCCCTGAGCAAATGATATCTTCTTTCTATGTAACTTAAACATTCTATAAACCTTGAATGTAAGGAAGGTGAATGACAATGAGACACATATAAATATGAACAGCTTTATGGAAAATTGTGAGATTTTGTGAAAATACACATTCCTGACTTATTAGTCAATATTAATGGGGACTGTTGTGAGTAAATCATCAATAAGAAGGGAATGGGGGGGGGATCTTGTAGTCATATTCAAACCGTCAATATTTAGCTTCGTTGTTGGTTGAAACAGAGGGAAAAGTAGAATTTACATCAATCTTGTACCTGCACCTAACATATCATCTGATTACTAACGTACTGTATCTACATAAGAACTGAATGCATATGTATGTAAATATAATAAAGAAGTATATTTCTGTTACCACAGAGAATTTACAGAAATGTGATTATGCAGAACAGAACTGTTTTACAATACATTCCTGGGCATTATAACTTGACAAAAGGGAACCCATTTTCTAACATCCATTTGCTAAGATGATTGTAGATATTACAATCCAAGGAGATATTTTCTAGAGTTAGCCATTTTGTGTAAATACTTGTGTGATATTGTTTGAGTACAGCGTTTAAATGAACTAGCTACATATTGGAATGCCTAGTGTGTATATTTAGTGAAACACTACATTGCACTTTCACTAAATTTGGGAGATATATCTCGATTAAGTATAAGATAGGCATGATTTGTTGTAAACTTTAAAGAATTGAAACTAAGATTATATTTATTTTAACCTATGCATCCCGTCCATTTTCTAATTTATTTGTATCATTAAGATTTGTCTGTCCGTAGTTCAAGTTGTTTAACGCTAAATAAAGACCTATATATAAAATAATTGTAAAATCAAATTGATTCCATCCTAATAATACATTCAGACAAGTATAAAAATGTACTTAAAATAGCCTTGATTTATTTTGTATTCATATGTTTGATATATTTGATTGAAATCTCTTCTATGCACCCATTTGTTTCAAATGTAAATAAAAGTGAGAGTAATCTATTGCTTTAACCAAAAAACAAAATTGTGATTGTGTCTTTTGTCTCTTGTTTTCTTTATTTAATATTTTCTGTTAATGTTGTTGTTACATGTAATGACAAATGACAAAGTTAGTAATGAAGAAGTTCTTAGAAGAGCTGGAGTGCAAAGGAAAATGATACGTGAGATGTTGATTAGGCTGTTGAAGTTCATGGGTCACACTACACGTAAAGAAGGCCTAGAGAATCTTGCTTTGACAGGGAAAATTGTAGGAAGAAGGATGATGCTTTGCATGGACAGTCTGCAAAAATTGTTGGAAGAGAGATGAGTGAAAGAACAGGAAGTGGTGCTAATAGAGAAGGCTAGGAGCCAAGGGTTGTGGAACAGCATGATCGCCAAAGTCAATCGATATGGCACTTAGAGAGAGAGAGAGAGAGGGAGACATGTAATGTTGATTTTATGTTGATTATTCTCGATTTAATAGTAGAATGTAAACCTTTTTCCTCTCACAAATTAACTTACATCAAATATGGTGAAGTCTGCATAATATACTGTATTACATTCAGAAGATGGTGCAAAAATGCACTGTAAAACGTGGATTGAAAGTCTTGCTCAATAGACCATTTTGGTAATGTAACCAAATTTGATGCATACTTCATTGTAAAGTGCCTGCAATCAAATATTTCGATTGTATTTCAATAGACAGAATGCAAAATGCATACGTTACGTGTTGTAGGTAGGGTAAGCCATAATGTTCCTCCTACCTGGCAACAGCTAATGTATGCAGTTCGCATTCTGACTTATGAATTACAATTATTCATTACAGATGAATGAAATAATTGTTATTGAGGTACTTCAAAAAGAGGTATGCATTAGATCTGGTTGCATTATGAAAATGGTCATTAGATATTTACCATTCTATCCAGTATTTTGTAAATAGTGTGTGTGCTGTCATGGTGGGGGTATACTTATACGATGTATGTCACTTGAAGGTGTTATAATGAAGTCTGCTCTAGTATAGTGCATAATACATAGCGCTTACAGACTTTGGTGGGAAGCGCTGTATAGACATCGTTTTATTATCATTATTATTTATTATTATGATGGAATGTCTCTGTGCGCTTCCAAAGGACTTTTAATGTTTTTCTAATGGTGTCACCTCCGGCAACCATAGCGCTCGGTGCATTTAAGGGATAAATCCTACCAGGTACCCACTTTAAATTACTGTACCTGGGTTGAGTGTGGTAAATGTAGATTAATGTCTTGCCAAAGGACATTAGTGCTATGTCAGGTTTGCCGGGTGGTGCATAGGATGGAGGCTCAGGGGCGGATCCAGCCGGCCGATAATTCACTCAGTGGGGGGGGGGGGGGGGGGGGGGAGGGGGGGTGGGGTAGTGAGCACTAAATTCTTCTTTTTTTTTTACTCCTGAAAATTTGAAAAATTGCACCCCCCCCCCCTTCCTTGAGCGCTAGGGGAGGAGGCCCATCTCCAGAAAAAGGTAAAATTAACGTGTTTTTACACATTTTTTTCCCGGGGGGGGGGGGGGGGCAGGCCCCCTGGATCCGCCACTGCGGAGGCTTATCCACCAGACAACACCTCTGTATAGGCTAGAGATACCAAAAATGATAAATGCCATTGACAAAGGAGGGAGAGAGAGAGATTTACAGACAGAGAGACAGACAGAGAGACAGACAGATAAAGGGGGCACCCATGGCCGTATAGATGACAATGAATAGATCACGCCCGGTGTTTATTGTCATCATAGCAACATCCGTTCCCCTCCTCCGTCAAATCTTTTATATCTATCCACGTGTTACTTGGCGCGCTCACGGATAGATAAAAGATTAATCGTATGTGACGTACGATATCGATTCTAAGCTCATGTCGTCTGCACCGTCTAGTCTCGAGGTGTTTTTAATGGTATTGATTTAGAAGATGTAAGGTAGAATAGGCTACTCAGCTTCAAAAGATGATCGATGCTTGTTATTCCATTATTTTTTCCGGTAACAAAAGGGATTCATTCTGACATTTTGTTCACGGAGAATGATGATCTCATTAATGTTTGAATGATATGGTATATACCGTTTATGGAGTATAAAAACGTGTTGTCGTAATGATGATTAAAAATGGATGTGGGCTTATGAGTAGTTGCTCTAAAGCATAGACATGGTTCCTAAGCAAGAACGACTTCATACTTAAGCCATTTTCTTAGTGGACGCCCACGATAAAAGCAACAACGACGACGACAGTGCCGACATTTCCTTTAATTTCAGAGTTGACAGATTTCGACCTAATGGATCAGACTTACAAATAAACCACATTTCTTATTGTCAACATTAATTTCAAACTATTAAATTTAAATCATATGCTGAGTTTAAGAAAACGGCATTGAAGTTTTCGTAGTGTTTTTGCTTTGACGACAACTTATAAATATGAGACAGCTTGAGAATCGTATCATGACTGTGGTATGATATTGAGTTATACATGAGAAAAGAAGAACATTTACTTGCACTATTATGAAGTTGCAGGTCTATGCTAAAAGGGATAAAATAAAATAAACTTTGTCAGAATCAAACTTTAGACCACACATCATATGTACAATTAAATTGTGTTACTTTGCTACTCCATCACATGGAAATGGCGAAGAAGGAAAACAATAAAGGTGAACATAATTTGTTTCGAGATTTCTGGGGGTACTGGAGTGGAGAATTTAAAGCGCAGAAGTTGCCCCCATGTATTTGATTTATTATAAACCAATATGACACTGATAGTGGAATGGAAGATTCATTGTTCTACAATTTGAAGATAAGGTCTGTTATAAGTAGCGTTGTTATTGTTTTGTTTTGTTTTGTTCTCAAATTGTTTGTTTTTTTCTTCATAGAAAATAGGGCCTATTATTATTTGGGGAGTTATCTGGTAATACGAAACTTTAGAACACCTATTAATGACAAGAATCTTTCACCCCTCCCCCTCTCTCTATAATTCATTCTCTCTCTCTCTCTCTCTCTCTCTCTCTCTCTTCCTCTCTATCTCTCTTTTCTTTCTCTCTCTCTCTCTCTCTCTCTCTCTCTTTTCTTTCTCTCTCTCTCTCTCTTTCTCTCTCTCTCTCTTTCACTCTCACTCTCGCTACCCTCCTTTCTCTCCTCTCTCTCGCACTCTCTCCCATTTCTCTTTTCTTGTTCATCTCATTTTCCGTCTTCATATCCTTTCCTCTTATTTCTATTCCTCTTCTTCTTCCTCCTCATCAATATCTCTCTTATTTCCTTCTTCATTAGAGATGTAAATTAACATTTCCCCCTCCAGTTTTCCAATTATTGTTTACAAGCCATCCATTTTCGTAGTTATGTCTATTGTAAAAGAAGGCTAGGCATTTATAGCGAATGCTATATATTTACTACAAAGACCAGACTAATCAATGGTCCTCATCGACTCTTTAGTATTTCACGACATTCTTTGAGAGAAACAGCGTTGTAATTGATGTTATTTAAAAAAAAATCAAACAAGCCTCTAATATTTCCCTATAAAATATGCCCTTTCTGTGTCTAGGGGGGCTTTTTTGTTTCGGCAGACCAATGAAGCAACGTTAGACAAATTCGATATTCATATGCCCACATCATAATAATTTCGTCGGGTACATGTAAATTGTAGTTTATGAAGTACTAAACAATTCTAAGGTAACACAGATCCATTTGATCTATTATAAAACTACATATTAAGGAAACTCATTACATTTAAAGATCAGAGAACAGCTATTAAAAAGGAGTAAAAAGGTAAAATAATAAGCAAAACAAACACACAAACAAACTCCTTATACGTTAACGAAATTGATATATACTTTATTTATTGCAGTATGTTGACGTTAATATTCTCGCCTATTAGATGGATTGTATCAAATTGATTAACACTAACTCCCCAAACAATTCCAACACTTTTAACAAAAACTTTTGCAATATTGGCAATCCAGTGAAAAACAGAATTATTCTGACACAATATTTTGCAGAGGCCAATGACGGACTCTCGTATTTACGAGACACACGCTGTGACAAGGGCCCCATATCACAAAACTGATCATCAGTGACACAGCTTTCCTGACTGGTTATCAGCAGATTTGTCATCGAAAAAAGACTTTGAGAAACGGGTCCAAGAAATGATGACAAAATAACTAGGATAGAATTGCATGAAGTGCTAATTTTCCAATCAATCCGTCGTATGAGTCTAAAAGGTCATTTAAACACAAGTATGATCTTTCAGAACGGGATGTTAATTAAGGGAAACATGTCATTGTATACTCAGGTGTAATTTTTCAAAACAGCATACTTTTAGTCTATATCAATAGGCCTATGCAATATTGTTGAAGGCGGGGTGGAGTCTGTAAACCTCCCATCAAATGTTCTTCCTTTTTTCGAAAGACAATTACTTACAGGCTACTTATAATTGATTTGATTTGATTTGATTTGATTTGATTTATTGGTTTCTGCATCTTTTTTTTTTTTTATCATAATGATATTGGGGTTAACGGTAAAGGGGTGGGTAGAGGGGGCAACATTATAAGCAAGTAGCATAAAAGCATCAGAAAGTTCCAATACACTTCCATCTACAAAATATAAAAGGCAGCCAATCAAGAACAAAATAATATCTCTTTTTTAAATAGTTTTTGAGTGAACACATCTACATATCATTCTGTCACAATACCCTGTTATGATTCATGATGGCAAGTAACCTAATTTTCAGGAGTGTGAAAACATCAGTGCCACTCTTTTTTTAATCTGAAAGTACTCCTGTAGGATACACCCCCCCCCCCCTCCCACACAGATTCAATCACCCAAAACTTACTAACAACAGTTAGTAAACTGTGTTTTGCTTTTGGGGTTGGTATATTTCATTGGCTATACTTAGTGGTTTTTTAAAAAGTTAATTCATAATGTAAATAGGCCCACACGTGCTGTTGTAACTTCAGATAATTTAAAGAGGCCTTTGATACATTGTAATGATGAACAAAATGATATTAATGCAAACGAATGTTAATAAACTTTTGGGCTCAGTCATTAAAAGTATAAATAGCAGTTGGCCTGTATTAAGCCAGCTGGATACAGTGATTGTATGCATAAAGTGAACATTGGACAGTCATAAATTTGCACTATGACCCCATTACGTCCTTATATAGGATCCAAAATATACAGGTATTTACCTCATTTAAACATAATGCTCATTTTGGGGGATCCCCTTAATTGTTACGAATAACTTCCTTTAACTGTACATTTTGTGGACTTGAAGTATAATGAGAGCATGGCACATGTTCACTTACAATCTACAATTATTATGATAGTTTCCTTTTAAATTTTGAGGGGAAAAAAAGACTATTGCAACTGCCACACGAGTTCAAAGATTTACCCTCAGTAGTATACAGGAATTACATTAATTTAAAAACTAATTTACTTAATTGTGATATGTAGCTATAGGCCTATACTATATATCTTAAGGATGGGAATGGTAAACACTTTTCTCCTTTTGATAATAATAAGTTATAATAAAATCAGATTATGATACTTCATTTCACGCCTAATGCCATGATTGATAACATCACCATCGTGATACGTCAATCATCACGACATGGGCCTATACCATAACCACAATTTGTATATTGCATCATTTCAATGATTGTCTACCAAAAGTGGATCAGTTCATTATTGCATGAATTAATTTGAAACATCGTAAAGTAAGAATGTTGTTCTAGAGTCAGCTTTGCAACAGTTAGTCAGTAACCACGGCAACATCATTCGCAGTATACGCCGTACACCGAAGCTACTACGAACAGTGACTCGTTTTGGTAAGACGCCGATGCGAAATCGTCATGTTTATCGTCCCAGACACATCGACTAGCCACCCGGACTCCTTGCCCCGTTACTGGCCCAATAATCACATTACTGATCAATTTATGGCGAGAAAATCCCAGCGTCTTGACATGATTTTTAATCGTGTCACTTAATTCTTTAGTAAGCGATTTGACAGTAGTGGGGCAGTACTGTACAGCCTCGAGTCTTGCTTCCAGAGTTTGTAACATGAGAGCCTTGACGCGGCTGGAGTTGAAGCGGACGTCGGGCGTCATTTTGTAACTGTTTTCGAGCTTCGGGCCCGTCCCGCTTGCGGTACCGCTGGTCTTCGATCCCGGTGGCTGCGATGATCCACGCCTCGCCGATGCATTCGAGTGTCGACGAGTGTCGGGCTGTCCAACTGCCAATCGGAGCCCGCTGCCTGTGTGCGACGACATCGACGATCGCGATGGGGCCTCGTTCTCTAATTTCGTCGCCATCTCTTATATTCTTGTACTCACAATGTGAAGTTTACAGAAAGACATCAAATTTGCGAAAGTATGAAGATTTTCATCGTCACTGAGAAGTTTAAAGATTTGTGTAGCCCATTCTTGTTTCAAAATGATGTTTATACATAAATTATGCAGCTAGCCCAATGACTATAATTCATATCATGTTTTTAGAAACTGTTTCGAAATGTCAACCTTTTAGTGATGGGCGACTTTACACCGTCCTGTCCTTTCTTGAAAGTGCTGATGAAAAGTCGTTTTATCCTGTTATACCTAGACTGCTGTTGAAGTTATGTATGAATAATGACAGAACCATTCCCAGTATGGTCAGCAATATCATGAACAGTCTAAGCACCAATCTGATAAGATTCACGTCTGCTTTAAGGAGATATTACAAGACGATATATCAAGAAAACTTTGCAGTGGGCATCTCTCTCGCCAATCCCAATGTCGATATAATGCTCATGGTGAAATGATCTAAGAAACGGCAATCATGAGAATTATTGCTCCAAATCATGTCATATTCCGATGCACCGAATTCCAAATTTAATAGACCTAATATATCATGAAATTAAATTCAAATCATTCAAAACGACGCCGAATAAAGTGGATTCTACAAAATCAAGATCGAGTCACATCCATTAACTTCCCTCCTTTTCAATAGGCAGTTGTGAAATCATTTAACTTATTCTGCGAGTCACTTGTCAACAATATTGTTTGCAGACTGTCTAATACAACGACTTCGAAGTGGGAAGTCAATTCGCTTTTATTTCACTCACACGACCAACAATCGATAACATGCCACGAACACCCTTCTACAAAACGTTTCCGCTACTTCAACCGATGATTTACACGTGTAAAAGTATAATGATTTTATTCGGCTTTGTATTATTAAAGTATACGCACACTCATCCCTTTTTTTCGGCGCGCGGCTAATGCCCGTTACCACGGCAACTATACAAACTTTTCATTTGCGATTCGTAAGATTTAAGTTATAATTCGTTATTTCGCTTCACAAAAGTACAAGAGCTTTGGGGGGGGAGACCTTTTAATGGGAATCCATACGAGTGTGCGCTTAACGCATCGTTGTTCCTACAAACAAAAATGTGTTTAATTCGCTTTAAGACCCCGTTGGCCGAGGGTTTGGAGGCCCTTTTGTCACAAACTACCTGGGGGCTAACCCCCCGCATAAAGGACTGTACTTTGTCAAAAGATGAGCACCTAATTGAAAATGTAATTCTGTCTGGGGAGAATGCCGTCTACGGTAACAATGCACCTTAAATCAAGCAGAGGTTCTGACATTACTTTCCCATGCAGTGCATGTATTATAGTTCCAGGTTTATAACTGCAATAATAACCCCCCCCCCCTCCCCCGAATTAGAATTACAGCTCTATTTTTTTATAAAATAATAATCCTAATCTGTTTGGATTGTCCTTCTGGCTCTCAGCAGACCCTTCTATGTATTAGGTAGACCCCAATTACGATGAATAATCCTACTAAACAACTTTTTCATGTAGATCATGTATAGTTTTGTTTAAATATTTTTTAAAGGTTATTTGCAAAAATTAAGAATCTATTATGTGGATTCATTTTAATTCATTTTGTTTAGGCTTTGAGTTTATATCAGGAGCAGTTTATTTGCCTTGTGAAGGGTCAGTTTATCATAGTAATGATGTTTTTGATCACCTTTATCAGGACCTATTATATTTGAAAAGCACATATAATGTGCCCTTCAGCCTAGTAGGGGACTTTAATTCAAGGACTGGGTTACTTGACGACTTTATGGTAATTGATAATGTTATTTCTGAATTTTCAGGTTATTGTTCTTCAAATGATAATGTTGATTTTAAGAGCTCGCTTACTGATGATGGATATGATACTAGGAGGCATAATATGGATTCTTCTATTAATAATAATGGTAGACAGCTTATTGGCATTTGTCAGAGTTTTGACTTGAAGATAGTGAATGGGAGATTTGGTAGTGATAAGGGTGTTGGTAGCTTCACATGTTACAATAAAAATGGAGGGAAAAGTGTGGTTGATTATGTCATTGCATCTGTTAGTTTATTTCAATATATTACTCATTTTGAGGTTGACATTTTTGATGTGTTTCAGATGTACATTGTCCATAGAATCTGATGTTTTCAAATAAATTGATTCCTATAAATGAAGATGTTGAATTGAGAAAAATTGAAAATAGGGTTGATGCTCCCGAAAAAGTGAAATACACTTCATTTAAGTGTTCTAAAGAGAAGGCATCTGAATTTAAGTTGAAACTTGATCAAAGTATTCCAGTACTGATGAATGCATTGGAAATGGTTGAGAAGTCATCGACACAAGGTAATATGGATAATTTTAGTACTGTATTGGCAAATTCATTTTTGAAGATGGCAAAGGAAGTCGGTATATGTGAGGATAAAGTCTGTAAGAAAATTCATTCTAGGAAACTTATCGTGGAGAAGAAACCATGGTTTGACACAGAGTGTCAGCATGCCAGATCAAGTTATTTCAATCTAAAAAATAGAATTAAATGACAGTGCAAAGGTCTAACTTTGAGTGATAAAGAACAAAAAATGGCTGAAATTAATGCTGTTGCAAAAGATTATAGGAAATTGCTACGTAGAAAGGAAAAAGCGTACACTAGGCTCTTGCACAACAATCTTCATATACTTAAAAAGGATAGTCCTCAAGAGTATTGGAAAATTTTGGATGGACCGAAGCGTAGCTCTTGTCCAGCCAAGGTCTCTTTAGATGATTGTGTGCATCATTTTAGTAGTTTGAATAATGTGCAATGTGCAGCATCTGAAACACATTATGTGGATTTTGACCAGTCAATGGGCAATGATGAGCTGAATGCCCCTATCTCGGTTGATGAAGTTATAAAGATTATCCAGAAACTAAAGAATAATAAGGCATGTGGTGTAGATTTGGTTAGAAATGAGTTTTTGAAAAATTGTTCAGCTGCTGTAATTGGTTGTATTACTGCTTTTTTTAATGTAATACTGGAGAGTGGTCTAGTACCAAAAGACTGGTGTCTAGGTAGTATAGTCCCTATTTTCAAAAATAGAGGAAAGGATACAGATCCAGATAACTATCGTGGGATAACACTTTTAAGCTGTTTGGGAAAATTGTTTACTTCCATCTTGAATTATAGGATAACAATTTATTTCAAAAATGAATGCAAGCTTGGAGAAGAACAGGCTGGCTTTCGTGCTGGCTATTCTACAACAGACCATATTTTTGTTTTGAAATCCCTGCTTGACATTTTACTTGTCTAAACGGAAGAGAATTTACTGCGCTTTTATATACTATAGAAAAGCTTTTGATATGGTTGATAGGGTTTCACTTTGGCACAAATTATTGAGGTCAGGGGTGGATGGTAAGGTGTTCACAGTTATTAAGAATATGTATTCTCAAGCAAAATCGTGCGTGATAGTAGATGGTCAAATGTATGAGGCTTTTCAATGCGATGTTGGTGTTAGGCAGGGTGAAAACTTATCACCACTGCTCTTTGCAATATATCTTAATGATTACGAGGATTTTCTCAGTAAACACTTTAAAGGTCTCAAATTTTTAGTTGAAAATGTATGTGCTGACATTTTAGATAAAGAAGTAAACAAAGATCTTTTCTTACAATTATACACATTGTTGTACGCAGATGACACCCTAATATTGGCTGACACAGCAGAGGAATTGCAAGTGGCTTTGAATGCCTTGTCTCAATATTGTAAAATTTGGAAGTTAAGTGTTAATGCTATGAAAACTAAAGTACTTATATTTTCAAGAGGCAAAGTACGTAAATTTCCAGTTTTCAGATTTGGAGAAGATGAAATTGATGCTGTGGATGATTTTGTATATCTTGGGGTTCAGGTTAATTATAATGGAAGTTTTAAAAAGGCTATTTCAAAACAGGTATCACAGGCCAGGAAAGCCCTCTTCTCTATGTCATTAAAGGTTCAAAGACTCAAACTGCCACTGGATATTCAATGTGAATTGTTTGACCAACTTGTATTACCAATACTCATTTATGGATGCGAAGTGTGGGGATATGAAGATCTGAGTCAAATTGAAATATTCCATAGAAAATTTCTCAGGTCAGCGTTATGTGTAAATAAATTTACACCAGATTGTATGATATATGGAGAAACTGGGAGGGCATGGCTAGCTAACAGTATCAAACATCGAATGGTTAGTTTCTGGTTAAGAATAGTAAAAGGTTCTCCCTCTAAATATTCAGTCAAATTTTATTTTTTGCAAAGGTTAATTAGTCAGAATGTAGATATGTCTACTTCTTTCAAGTGGTTATCTTGTATTGAAAAAATATTGAACCATGCTGGTCTTGGTATTGTTTGGCTAAAGCAAGGGGAAGGATTTAGCAATAGTTGGATACTGAGCACTCTGAAGTTGAGATTAAACGATATTTCAAAACAAGATGTGATGGCAACAATTTGGACAAACAGTGTGTGCCTAAATTATAGGATCTTTAAAGAGGATTGTCTCTTTGAAAGGTATTTAGTTTTGCTGAGTAAAAAAGATAGAATAACACTGAGCCGTTTTAGATGTAGGTCACACCGTTTACCAATTAATAATAACAGATTCAAAGAAGCTGTTAATGAAATTAGTATTGAATGCCCATGTTGTGATATGCATGAGTCTGGTGATGAATTCCATTATGTTTTTGTATGCCCTTTTTTCAGAAAGGAAAGAGAGTTATATTTAGGTCGCAAAGTAATACTTAAACGCCCTTGCACATCACACATGTTGAATTTATTTTCATGTTCCGGTATAGGACAGCTGAAGAAATTAGTACTCTTCTTAAGGATAATAATGTCATATTTTGCTCGTCTATATACATGTAAATCTGAACAATCCAATCATATGTCGCCCATAAAAAGAAATGTTACAACCCGAAGTGGTAGGTTAATTAAGCAACCAACAATTCTTGATCTGTAGTACAGTCTTTCTTTAGGTCAAGTATAGTTTTGATGGTTTGTTTGTTCTTTTGTTCATTTTTTTTTGTTAGTATACTTTTTGTTTTGTTTGTCTTATTACATTTTATATACCTCACTTAAGAAATCCAGCCATCTGATTGGTCGAATTGCATTCATAAACTTCAACTGTTCCTGTAAAATTCTCGGTAACCATGCATAAAACATTTCAATATTTTTAATAACCATGGTTATTAAAAAAAGTTGGTCAGCCTCCATGGTTACCCCATAGGTTTACATGTTAAAAAATGGTTTGAGCGATGGAGGATGCCGTATGTGTGCGAAGGATTGGTCGGTAATTTCAATACAATTGAATCTCGATCGATCTTACCGACAATTTTATCTTGCATTGTTGACATGAAGACGAAAATAAACTTCCAAAAACAAAAAAACAACATCTGCCGATAGATCTTGATCTAAGTTCGTGCCAATATGCATTGCAAAAGTAAAAGAAGAGTCCGTATATGGAGCTTTTGCGAAGCATTCATCACACGCGAAGCCGGTTTCAATTCATTTTAATGTATATATTAGAGAAAACTGCCAAGCATGTTAACGGCGGGCCATAGCCGAGTGGTCTAAGCGTTGGTTTTCGGTACACCTCTTGATGTACGCAAGAGTTCGACTCCCGTCTTCGACAAAAATGATTAATATTTTTAATTTTTCATTTTTTAGTCTATTTTTTTTCGGCATATAAAAGTATTAATGACTGCTTTAATATTCGAGAAATAGTTGTTTTCATACGCTCTCGGGAAGGTTAGAATTGGGCTATTCCACAATTCTAACCTTCCCTTGAGCGTAATAAAACAACTATTTCTCTCAAAGCAGTCATTAATACTATAATATTCCATTATGTTTTTGTTTGTCCAATGGACGATTATGGCGT